GTCCCGCGACGACTTCGAATACCTAATTCCGCGGATACGAATTTAGACGCTAGACGGATTCGTCTTGAGTAAAATGGTACGACTCTCGTCGGGTGAGTGACAGTGACAGGTGGATAGAAGCATCGACAATGAAAATAGAAACAGACCGGTGCCCCACCGAGGCCGGATTGGAGAGATGGCGCGCGCTGACCGCTCGAAATGCTCAGGACGTTTCTCTGTATTTCAAAATTGAGAGATCATGGGATGTCCATGCCAATTAAAAAGAATCGTACCGGTCAGTTACGAGCACGAGTACACTTGTATTTATTAAATACGTGTACGTAATGTTCGGGTTCTCTTTAGTGTAACGTCAGTGCCTGTTTTATCATAAATCTCCTGAATTTTTGTCTTTGAATAAAATTCAGGTCAATATTCTTGTTTCTATTCTCGATTTCATTATCCCTAACCCTTTTCTTCGAGCAGAGTGCTCTGTATTCGCCAGCCAACGACTCGAGGTGGAGTTATCCCTAAGTCCACCCTACGAACAAATATTTTCCTTTCTCTGGGAGTGAATTCGCAGTTCCTCGGATTCGTCGTCCGCGAAGTAAAGGTATAATAACCGCGGCTATTCAAAGAGTCTGCTCAAAGGGGAATCCCGAGTCTGCCGCGACGAAGAAAGATGGCCGTGGAAAGTGATCCTGGCGGAAATAGACATTCTTGTTAAGAGGCCCCGCGCTCTTTGTAACATTACCCACGAAGGAAACGGCTTTAATTCGTGCTTAAAATCCTCTCGTAGGAGCCCTCGAGGGAATGTCTCGAGCATAGAGGCTGACACGGGGGACAGGTGGATCTAAATAAAGACTGGACCAACGCCAGAGCCAGCAAAATGGCCGAACACCGACGCGAGGCTTCGTCGACGTCGTTGTCGTTTTCGTTGGCGGTCGGTTATGATAGCTTACGACACCACGGATTTACCAGCACCGAGAAAAACCCTCTTTAACGCGGAGAACACTCGCTCGGTGTTGGATTTCACTTCTTCCACCTACGTTCGACTAATTCGAGGACATGTGCTCCGAAACGCGGATACGTGAGCGCGACATAAACGACACGCCTGTCGGTATGACTAGACACGCGGGAATCTTCGTGCATCGAACTGACGCGTTCATCCACGTAGAAATGCCTTTTTGCGTCATTTTTGCGCGCAGTTTGATTACAAGAGGGTGCCTGGCAACCTCGTGATATCGGAGTATGATATCTAGAAAATGGATAAACGTAATCGTTTGAAATCCAGCTAGTTTCTTGGTCGTTATTTGGTGAATTTTCCAATCGATTCCATTGGAAAATAATGATAATGTGACAATAAACGTTACATCAGATTTTTATTTCGTTCAAGTTCTAATAAAATGAGAAATCTTATTATGAATATTTATTCAAAATTCTAACAGACACTTTCACGTCAAAATATTTGCAATAAGTTCCAAATTGAACAGACGAGAATGTATTTTTTTTTTTTTTTTTTATAATTATTCTTTCGGAAATTTGACTCGACCTTATATGAATGTTTACCATTTCGTAAAACTCAACTGGACGTTGTTCGCGTGCATACGTAATGTTCACACGTTTCTTTATCGTAATAGTATGCATACGCGTACGTACACAACCGATTACCGATAAGTTTTCCCCGTCTTTCGTTTCCCAACGACAGACGGTAACGCCGTGTTATATTAAATTCCAAAAAACCACCACGTACAACACCAAAAAATACAACACCAATAGCGACACCAAGTGTAGTGTAAGCCTTCATCACACACACAAGGTTATTAATATTATAATGGTTAGCGGAGCCTGTACACTCGACGAATAATCCCATCTTGTCACGACGAAATTCGATTAGATTGTACATCCAATATGAGTGCTTTCATCCTAACGTAAAATCGTTGAAAATTCGTTGAGAAACTAGTAGAAAATATATGTATTACATATTTTCTGGTACATCTCGATACGATCTACTAATCGGAAATTTGGAGCACCCTTTGATCTTCGAAAGAATTGCATTTGAGTTTTGACATTTTTAATAATAGAGAAATTAGAAACGCAACAAGAATGTAAAAAAAAAACATTATTTCTTTATAAAAAAAACATTATTTCCTCGAAGATCGATGGTTGTCGCTCCAAGTATTTCCAATGGCGGTATATTTTCTTTGTTCCTGTCTACTTTCATCTCGGCAAGTTTCAGCGCCTCGATGAATCTGGCCGGGCCAAACGAGGTAAACCGCGATAAAATCGATCGCAGCTATGAAAAATTAACGAACGTTGTCGTGTTACGCGGCGGTGGGTCGATTTCTGGCGAAAAACACGGAAGAATCGGAGAATCGGCCGTGTCGTTTATAATTCAACGAAATTCAACCGCTCGCGTTCCATCTTTCCCGCGTTTCCCCTCCTTCCCCTAATTCGGCCAAGTCGATTTTTCCCCCAAAAATCGAGCTCTCGGTCTCGCGATCCGGTTTCTATCGAGCCAGAAAAGACGAATCCCCGCGAAACAGAAACGGCATTCTACGCTCTCGGTTCTGGACGAATAAATATTTAGAATCGTTCGCTGTACCGTTTCCGTGCGAACGATCCTCCGCCAAATATCGTAGATGGAGACTTCGGTAGCGATGGGATCGAGCACCGTACGAGCACTTTCCGAACACATTTTTAGAAACAAGAAGAACATAGGAAAAATACTTTGGTCCGCGATGCATTTAAGAAACGTTACAACTGTTGGATTCGAGTAGTTTTCTGACCTATTATCGATAAAATGAAAATTAAGATTGAAATTAAAAATGAAATGTCCGAATCGAAAGCAATTAAAAGTATATCGAATTGAGGCCATGGCGATAAGACGGAAATGTAAATAGACTGCAGATGTTTATGCAAATTCAAATTCTAGCATGTTCCAAATGTTGTGACGTATATTTTATTTTTTATACTCTACATATTTATGCATTTGTCCATATCCTCGCGGATCTCGATCCCATTTCCGATCCTCGACAGTCGTAAAGACGCCATATCGATGAACGTTCGCCCCGTGTTCCGCGATTTCGGAAAATCGCCGAAGACCCGCCACCAAAGGCAAACCAAAACGATTAAAAGTAAAAAAAAAAAATATATATATATATATTAAAATAGAAAACAATGTAAGAAAACAAAAACTGAAAACAGTGCACACGTAAACTTAGAAAAGGAACATATTACTTGACGAAACACACTCTCGACGTCAAAGGTAAAAAATAAAATCCAGGTGAATAGAATAGACCGTTTCAGAGGTGCGGCAAGAAAATCTATGAACATCGTGACGCCTGCTGATAAATGTCCTCGGGAAAGGACATTTAATAGCAAGTCTCAGCCTCCATGATAAGAACCCCGGTAGTTACACGTCGCCTGATCGCCATAATCGCCTATATCCGAGATCGTCGTTACCGTGCCACCGTTCTTGTTACAGAATTAATGCTACCATTATCGTCGCTAATCGCTATATCGTTATTAATATTATTATTTAATATTATTATTATTATTATTATTATTATTATTATTATTACGATTATTGTGATTATGCTGATTAAGAAAAAGAGTGTAAAAGAGTAAAGACCAAAAAAGTCAAAACCAGTAAACAAACAAATCTCTCAGCAACCGCAATCGTCAATTATATCACTTCACGTCAATCTCATCAAGAAAGTAGAAACAAAAAACACAACCAAAATAAATGTATGAGAAAAAAAAAATAAATAAAAATTAAATAGAAGTACAGTAGAAGAAAGAAGAGACCGATTTATCCTCGGAAGATTATTTTCAATTCGTAGAAATAAATTCGTGGGTACTCATGGCTTCCGATACGTGTGTGCGTGTGCCGCTTTCTTTCTCTCGCCCTCCCTCTCTCCCTCTCACTCTCTTTCTCTTTTTCTGTCACCAATTTCAAAGTATCTTTTTGTTTATTGTTTTTTTTTTTTTGCCTTTTTTCGCACTTTCTCTAGAGTTTCGTAACCGTCTTTCTTTCTGTTCGTGGTCTCTTTTGGTATTTTTTTTCGTGTTTTGTTTCGCTTTGTTTTTTTTTTTTTTTGTTTTTTGAAATTCGCGCTCCTTAGAACAGCCCTTGGCGCTCTCAAGGATCTCGCAAAGAGGACTCTCAGCCTGCCCCCTTACGCGCACGCGTCAGGATGCTGAAACGTTATATACAGTCTGTCTTTAACAATGTGTTAACAATCATTATTCACGCGAGTACCTTTCTTCCCGAATTCTTTTAGTATTTTCTTTTCGTTTTTATTTTATTATCCATGCGACATTCGTTGGTTACTTAAAATTGTTTCTCGTTTTGAATGCGAATCGTGGACCGAGAAAAATTATAGAAAAATTCGTCTACAGGGTGTCCCATCCAGAAACGTAACTGATAATCATTTCCTTTCAATTAATCGAATTTTTAAACATTTAATTGCAAGATTAGATTGTCCTTGAAGACATCTTTTGTTAAGTAAAAATTTCAAAAATTTAACATTCTAAGTCGACAAATCAATAAGATTATTAACAGGTAATATTAACACCTCGTTGCACGTCTCTTTATTGTCTATCACTTCACTGGATGTATTTTAATCACTTCTTGAAATGAAATTTATAGTCCACCTCTATAAAATAACATATTTTTACAAATTTCTTTCGAAACACGTTTCCTGTCTTCTAGTTTCCAGTGAGACACCCTATATACCTCGATCTCGTATAGAAAACTGACTCGAAATTTGATATTGCTGACCAAATAATCCGCGAGTTGAAAAAATACCGTGAAAGTGCTATCAAAAATATGATAGCCGAGGGGTGCATTGCTTTTTCATTAAAAAATGATCGATTACAACGATGCAACCAAAAATAATATTTGTAACTCGAATGATCGCGAGGACTTCTCCAGACTTACAGCTAGTATCTCGACAACTACGTTAACGACATTTACGCTCTTACTATAGTTTGACAAAATCACATCAACGTGGACTCACCCATATTGGCCAGGAAGAACCGTGGGGTATCCAGCTCGGATGCCAGCAGCGAACGGGAATGCTGAAATCATAAACAGTTCCGAGTCAATCCTATTTACGTTTCTAATGGCCAGCCCTGAACTCTGGCGCTCGTGTCCGCGTGTGCACGGCCTTGTTCGTGTAAATCGAACATCCTGTTCTTTCGATTCCATCGTTTAGACCACCACAAGAGGCAGATTTCTTCGATGGAAATCGTAAAACAATTTTAAGACGTCTATCTACTGTGAACTCAAGATGCGCGATGCAGAACACCGGAAATTTATAGGAGAAAGCTAAATATGTATGCGAAATTAGGGATTAGGGTTTCCAGTCATACTTGTTTTGAGATTCTTGGTGTTAAAAGAAACCGAAAAGTGCTTTACCATATTGCAATCCGTGGGTTCGTTACGTAGATACAAGTAATTCAAAATTTACTAGTGGGATCCCGGTGCACGTCATTTTTCACCGTCAGCTGATCGCGCCATGACCCATGCGCGCGGTCATGGAGCTATGATTACACACGTGCAAACTGTAACTGCTTGTATCTCGATAACGAAGTCTCCGATTGAAAAATGTCTCACATTTTCATTAATAATTTGTGTAATATGCATCAAGTATACAAGGTTCCCCCTTTTTGGACTCTTCTAACGTGAACACGCTGCTTGAGTTATATTCTCCTTTGAACTTAAGACAATACAAAAAATACGGAAGAAATGAAAAAACTTTTGATACCAATTGCCAAACTTCCCTCGTTAAGTGACTTTAATAATCATCTCGTACTAGTAAACTCTGATCACCTAACACGTGGAAACCTAAGAATATGACATGCACATTGTACTTTACACTTTTGCATATACACTGACTGATGCCACACGTGTCACGTGTTCTATCAGCGAGCGCGTTGCGATGAACAATAAATTCGAAACATCCATCGCATGCTTATGTAACGAAGGTAATGGAAGTGGTGAAGAGCACATCGAAAATGAAGCGAAACATGCACTAATCGAGGAATCAGGATACAAGGAACAACAAAGTTTCCTTGGTAACGGGAACGAGCAAAATGGAGGCTTAAATACGACCGTAAGTGAAATTGTAAATTGTACATTACAAAATTACAAGTGACGTGAGCTAGAGCAATAATTAAGAAAAAGAAATACTTGCAAAGGTAAGTATATAAATCTCGACATCGTGATAAAATATGCATCATGTTGCCACGTTTACCTGAATATAATTGATCATTGTGAATTATTTCAGTCTACAATTTGGATAATAATTTTTAATCGATGAACACCGGTTGAACTAACTGGAAATTATTCTCAACATGTCAGGATACTGGAATTATCTCAACTATTTACTCTAACTGGAACTATAAAAACAAGTACCGCAAGATAAGAATCAAGAACGATGAATATTAAACTTGAGCAAAAAGCGAAATGAAAAAGCTGTTGCGAAACTTTTAGAAATGGCGTCTTTAAGTTCGCGAGGAGATGCCTCCGCATTTGGTATTGAAGCGTAATAGGTTTTAGAATAACAAAGCAATCCATGAATGCAAGACGAAACAAATAATAGAAATCAGCAGAGTCGCTTCAATTAGGAACACGCAAGTGGTTTGAATATATTTCGTTACACCGACAATGTTTTTATGTTGTGCATGCGAGGAAAAACGTGATCGTCTATTGCTAGTAAGGTTTAGTAACCATACAATTTTTTAATGGATCATTTATCAAGATATTGATCTTCTCATTATTATTTATACTAGGTTCCCGATATCGAAATTAATTTGAATTGAAGAATAAAAAAATATCTAGTATATTTTTCGATAGCCTATTTGTGTGCAAATTAAAATAAAAGTTGGCTGACGTACGAGAATCGTGTCTAGGATGAAATCCTCGATACGAGATAACGAATATTCGACTGGTTGCGGACGCGTCTAATATTAAACGTCGCCGTCCGATTCCAAACCAGAAACGATTTTTGCACGCGAAGGAAAAGAAACAAAGGCGAACTCGGTACTCGGGTTAAGGCAATTTTAGACTTAGGTGCCGAAGCGCCAAGCTATGTTGGCCTGAAGCCACCGCAAGAATTTGAGGAGAGTGACTCAGGGTACGGTTCTCGATCGGCACAGTCGACTCGTGAAACTGTCCTTCGCCCTTCGCCAATCGTAGATAAACTAAATTTTATTCCAACCACGAACCTCCCAATCTCTTGTTACTCCATTTGTCCCACGCGTGAAATTAAATTCGGAGCGACGAGAAAATGCAAACGAATCAAATTAAAATAACGATTTTTAAATCAGTTGAAATTTTAGCAAACAGATTTCACCTAACGAATACTGGATAAACAGTTATCTGCCATTAGATCATCGCTCGAAATTTCTCGTTTAATTATTTATCTCGCATCATTGCGCAACTTGTTACCAAAATAAACACGACAGGAAGGAAAACCAGGTTAGGAACATACTAGAAAAGAAGAGACAAAGCAAAAATGCAAATAAAGTACAGCTAAAGGAGCCTAACCTACATTTTTATCTAGAAAAGAATTTTGCCCATCTCTGGTGCGAGCCACGTGGGATCGAATTGCACAAGAGACCTCTAGCTGTCAGCGTGTTTGATTCCGATCAGACCCAAGAGCAGAATTAGACGGGATTTGCTCGTCAGGAACGCGCGCGTCGTTCTTTCCTAATTGACGTCGAAGTTAACTTCCCATTAACGGAACTCTTTTAGAGTAATATCTCATCGGCGTTGGACACGTGCCCTCGATATATCAGGAAAAATAATTGCCCGCCCTCGTCGTCCAAGAAGTATATCGCCCGTTACTGCGACGATTCGAATTGAAATTTGGCTGCGTTTCAACGGGGTAAAACCCGTGACAGTAGCGACAGATTAGAAATAGTAAACACAATTTCTTCGTAATTTTACGCGACAATTCCTTAACTTCTTCAACTATAGCACTATTTCTCCTATCGAGGCATGGGCCAATTTTAATTCGAATGAAAATAAAAAGTGACTGTTCGAAATTATATAAAATTCTCCAAAACCTGTTGTGGAGAATTGAAATAATATATATGAATTATAAAACTCTAAATTAACTGTAGAAGAAGAAAGAATAGAGAATGGTGCAGAAATCGTTGTGCAAATCCCCAATCGTGTAAGTCAAAGCAGAGAGTCACTCAAGCAGTAATACAGTTCAAACATCGCTACCTAACTGGTCGAATTCGCATCTAATGCCTCGCGCAATCCGCACACACTCAATGACCGTACATTGCTAAACAAACTTACTCGCTTGTAGATTACCCCTGGGCTTAGCTCCAAGAATGGCCAGGTTGACGTTTGCTTTGCGACCGTCGATTATGGGGTTGGGATCTTTGCACGCCCTCTCCGCTGCCGGTCTGTCTCCCATGATCACCTGCGTGCAGATCCGATCGATTATTCGACTAATCCCACTGCTCCACCTGGATCTTGCACTTCCTACCCCTTTTATAAGCGATACGAACTCCTGTGCGTGTACCTTGCACGTAAAATCCGGATATTTCCAGGTTTTCCGTCGGTTCAACCATCCGTCGACTTACCAATAATAATTAATACCAAATAAAAAGCTTGAGAGTGTAAAAAACAAAGAGCAGAACATTGCGGCCTAAAATTGATCAGCATTCGTTTATTTCAAACGCTTCGAATCTTACATGGATACCAAAAGTGACTCAAATCTAAAATTTGAAACATCGAAGATGAACGAATCCTTGTTTTTTTTTTAGACGGATTTATGTGAAACAAAAAGGGAAACGAATAATAAAGTAGTCAAGCCGCGTACACGTTTGCGCAAGAATAGAAATTATCGTTAACGGAAAGCCTACGAAACGTGTACCCCCGATACGAGTGTACAAACTGGTTTCATTATCGTAATAAATTATGCTACTATCTTTACGTACTCACTTGACTCATTTGTTTCAGCGAGTAGAACGATAAACGAGCACCGTAGAATTTTTATACTTTTTGTGAAGTACTGCAAATTCTTTTCACAGAATTACGGTGTTCGTTAAGAAAACAAAAAGAAAAAAGAAAAAATAGGGCACCAACTCTGACCCACACCTATACTTACAAACTAGAAATTACTCACTCTAAGCTAGATGTGTCCAAGCTAAGCTCCTAGGAACCTGAATTACTACGTATTAACCATATGTACAAACCCTATCTTCCTGTCGCCCGACAAGGATATAACATAATTCAGATTTTTAAGAGCTCAGCCCCCCCCCCCCCTCTCTTTGCTCTAAACAATTAGCTCAAATCAAACTCAAATCAACGCACAACAGCTATTAATCAGCAACGTCAAACGAAATTCTCTGTCTTTGCAACACTTACGAAACCATAGCCTCTACTTTTTCCAGTCTGCCTGTCCGTGATAACGACAGCTTCCTCGATGTCTCCGTAGACGTTGAAGTGTTCCCTGAGACTTTTGTCGGTGGAGTGGTAGGGCAAACCACCGACGAAAAGTTTCGTCCAGGTGGTGTCCTTCTGTTGGGGTGTGGTGCCAGTCAAAGCGCCCAGGCTCGAGACCAACTCGTCCGGCCCTGGCGCCCCCACGGCACCAACAGTGCCGACGGTGCTGAGACCCGTGGCACCAGGCATCAACATCCTCCAAATTTTGGCGAGATCACCGCCGGATGAAAGAACTACTTGCTCAATTTTGACACCTTCTTTGGTACTTGGCACGAACGTTAATCAACGTCACAGGCTCAGCAGCATTTAGGCGATCGGAAACTTTGAGACCTGGGAAATACGAAAAGAGAAGGGAAATTTTAGTGAACTTCCTCGCGGATAAAATGAAACCTAAGACTAAATTCTTATAAATTTCTCTGTATCTCTATTCGTCAGATATGCATAAACATCCACGGTCTAATAATAATAATACGCACAGTGTCAAGGAAAACAGCAATTCCTGCGTTCCGCTGCAATATACCAAGGAAGAAACACATTAATTCATCCGTTATTCGAATCCCATCGGCTCACGTGACCCCGCGCCAGTGCGCAACAAGCGCGCGCATTCCCGGGAACCTGACGTCCGTCCCGCGTCGTATGTCATCGAAAGAAGGCCAAAAATAAACCGCTCATCCCTTTCGATCGACCGACGAGGTACCGTTTCGCAGAGTTCCTAGCTCGCGTCTCCTGATTCCCTTCGAAATCGATGACTCCATCCGTACGAAAGAGAGCGTGGAACAGATCGGAATCCCCTCGGATAGGAAGCGAGGGCCCGTTGCGCGCCTGCGCGGACTCCCCGGGGGAAAACCAGGGCCCAGGCAAAAAGAGGAAGAACAGGCCGCGAGCAGCGTGGTCGAAAGGACGCTCGGAAGAGGTACCTCGAGCCGAAGAAAAGGGCGAGCGGAGGAGAAGGGACCCTGACCTCCATTCAAGGCCCGGTAACGGCCTGAAAAGGGAGCCAGTTTTCGCCTCTCCTCGCGATCAAGCAGAAACAGCTCCGGGGCCCTAGGTAGCAGGGTACTTTTCGTCTCGGCTCGGCTTTCGAATTTCTGCAATGCTGGCTGAGCCAGAGTAGAGGTAGACGGACGGGGCCCACGGAAGAAGGGGTCCCTCCGCTCTCTCGCTTTTTCCTCTCAGCTCTGTCTCCGTCTCGTGCCAGCATTGTGCCCATTCGGCGCGCACAGACCCTGCGAAGTGGGCCTCTCTTCCGACCCCCTCCTGTAACCCCCCACCCCACCTGCCTCACTACCACCAGCACCATCCGTGACAGTGCGCCACTTCACCAGAACGGCCCTTCGTCGTCCGTTTCTGTCCGATCCCCTAAAACGACGGGCAGCTGCTGCAGAAAACCGGTGCAGCACGCCGTATAATCATATTGTTGTGCTGCCATCGGACTCCTCCTCCACCACCACCGTTGCTCTTTCTCCCTTTTTTCCCTCATCCTAGGCGCAACTACGACCGGGACGTTCGGTCGAGCATAAAGACGGCTTTTTCTCCGTTTTTTATTTCTATTCTTTCCTTCTTCTCTCTCCCTCTCTCTCTCTCTCTCTCTTTTTCCTTTTTCTGCTTTTTAATACGGCTACCGTGGAAGCAACGACCGTGCCGCGGCTGATAAGTGCTAAACAGCGGGTTCGCGCTCGCAATACGGGGTGTATTCGTATTAAACCGCACCGGCGTGTAATGCTCGCCCGGCGAAGGTGATCGACGCGCTGATAATCGTCTCCGCGATGGGTGTACCGCTAGAACTACACAAAAGCATCGGGCAGCTCGTGCTGAATGAGATATATTTGAAAATTCACCGGAAGCTGACGTTTCTTTTTAGACTAGGAGCTAGCCAGAATATTTATAAACGATTCGAGGGATGAAGTGACGTAACAGCGATATCGCAGCTTCTTTCGGAGTAGTACCAATTGAAGAATTATTATTATTGAGAGTAAAAGAGAACCTTTCCTACCAAAGAGAGCAATTTAGAAGGTGCGAACATTGGATTAATTACAGAAATTGCTCTTCCTTGTATGCATGCTTTCTTATTATTTTAATTGTATGTTTGTTATTCTCTGGAATCGTTGCACTAATTAATTCCTCATACGAGAATTAACCCCCAATCACGTGTTCCTAGTTCGCTACAAAAATTATAAACAATAGCTACCACTTTTAGAGCAAGGATTTATGCGTGTTATTATTATCTAATTGTTTACCCGGTTAACTGCAGGCCTTAATGGCGAAGACGTGCGCAGGAGATCCAAGCAACATTCAAAATTAGAAAGTTATTTGAAACGGGAACGTTTGTGCATTTGGTTCACTGCACAAGAATCTTCGCACCGCGTTGAACAAAACGATCCTTTCAAGAGTAATATACACAGTAACGATCCACGATTCCCATAGGTCGATTAATATTTATAATACAGGGAAAGAAAGAGCCCGGACAACTGCTATTATTCGATATCTACATGTGGATATTAGAATTAACATAGACATACATTTCGTCAGCCTTCCTTTCAATGGGTAGGGATTTCATAAGGGAACGAGATGTTGGGAAAAGCTGTTCCAACCCTTCAGGTAATAAGACGTGTGTAACGGCCACGGAGGGTGTCAACAATGTCTCGTAAATCAACAGCGGTAACGCGTCAAGCACGAACAAGTCCAACCGTTCAATTCTACGAAATTATTTGCGCTTCGGAGCAACAATTCTGTATTCTATAAAAAATAGAAAATATTCTGCTTCTTCTTCGTTGAAAACGTTTCGGAACTGAATAAATGCTGAATGGCTAGTGACACGAATTATGATGTTTATTTTTATATTCGATGACAAAATACTTATTTTTATATGCAAAATTCAATAGCAAAATAACTGTTACTCAGCCAGCTGCTGCTATTCAGAGAGTTTCAAATGGAGCCCAAGCGAAATCGGCAGAAATCATTTTTTTCTTCGAATAAACGCAAGTGCAAGAGATAAGATCTGTCAACGAAGATTTCGTCTAACGAGTGTTGAAGCATTTTCGTCGAACTAATTTCCGATAGTATCACAAAAGACCGCGACATCACGCATCGATCACGGAGCAGCCTCGCGTACGACATTGGCCGATTGCCACGCGCTCGACGAAACTAACTAAAATATCTTCTCGGCCAAAGTCGCAAAGGCCAGAGTTCCAGAAAACATCAGAGAATCGGTCTGGCTTTGTTTGCCAATCGACGACAAAAATCCTGTACAAAGAACATTATCGGGTAGCGAACAAAGCGACACCAGTTGGATGTTTCGAGTCCAACATCCTCCATCCAACCTGTTGTTCTGGAAGCTAATACTGGACATTGCGCAAACTTTATCGCAATCATGTTCCTCAAACATGAAAACAAAGTTTGCCCTAACGTTCCAAACTTGATTCAGGCATCTTCATGTACTCGGTTATTTATTATCAGAGCTTAACACCGTTCCAATAACGTTCGCGATTAGCAACACCGGCGAAATAAAAATGGCGGACATTTTATTTCAGAGAGTTCGAAGGGAGATTTTTTATTTAAGTATTTTGTCATCGAATATAGAAATAAACATTGTAATATATGTTACCGTATATTTACATATTTCGACTTTGGAATAGAATATTTTTATTTAAGAATTTATTCAATTTGAGATTTTTAATTTTTGTAGTGATTTTAAATCAGATGACTTCACTGTATTAATTAACCATAAATTAGATGAATTTGATTCAAGTTTTTCAACATTATGCAAAGGAATTGGGTTATATGTATATTCATGATTTAATTAATATTCAAGCTAAATAAGTAGTCAAACCTGTACAGATCGTGATCATAAATCAAGTAAAATTTGTTTACTAATTAATTGGACCGATAAAACAATCCATCAAATATATTCTCTTCTCCTACGACATTTACAAAAAAAAAACAAACAAATTAAATCAATTTAAATTAAACCCCATCATCCTATTTCAAAGTAAACATCAATTAAATTTACGAATCTACTGCCCTCCAATTCTAGCCACGCTTAAATCAACATTAATCGGTTAGGGATGAAAATTCACAATTGCTAATTTATTCTTGGCCAGCTGAGACAATGGTCCCCCGGAGTACAACGAAAAGGAAATAACGAAGAAAAATTATGTTTCCCGGTTTCTTCGCGCCAGACGACTGTAATCACCTGCACACGTTTCCAGGCCTTCTGCTAAAGAGAAATCGTCGAGCCGACGTCGAGGTTTATTAATAAACGTCGTGGTACACGTGCCCGTCGACGTGTACCCCTTTGTCGCGACGAGACCGCTGCAGCAAAGGGGTGAAAGAGGAGCGACCGAGAGAATAAGCAGATCGTTTTACGAACGTGCGAGACAGCCTCGCCGAAACATTTGGCCATCGAGTAAACAACATTTTCCGATTCGCCTTGCAATCCCCTCCAAAGCATCCTCGTGGCCCGATTACAAAAATTGGCAAAATTCTTATCTAGACCAAATCTTCAACCACGAATAAAACAAAGGGTTTTCCACAGGTGATGTTTTTGGAATGTCGTTTCCACACATTAACATGTATAATTAATAATAATGATTTCTGATTTTCTTAGCATGAAAAGCCAAACAAAATATTAATGTATTTGTGTGAAAAGTATATAGAGAAACAACAAAACTCCGAAACCATTTTGGAGCAACCTTTATAAACACCTTTCAATGTCTGTATTCAATTTCTGTATTCATCGCCTATTATTCAAATAAAATTCTGCGCTGCGTAAGCATCACGTGTCACCGGGACGGTTCAACCTTCGTCGAATGAAAACGCTATCGAATAAATAAAAGTGATCAAACATTAGAAAACTGAAGAAAATTGACGCGTATACATATCCACCGTAAAACATACATCAAATTTAAATAATTAAATCACGTAAATTTAATTACCAATCTCATTTAACCCACGTGAATCACCATTCGATTACTCGCTCAAACTTTTCGTTCGAATAAAATTCTACCCATCACTCGCTCGGTGGCGCGTCTACGCACGCCTATGTATAGCTCCAATAATGATCCTTTTAAATTTTTAATTCTTCGCACCTTGCAAACAAATCCACCTTCTATCATAAAACGCTACCGAAACACTTAGTTCCTTAACAGTGATTTTCGCCACCGGCCCGCGAAGCGGAGCAATTAATTCCACGGGCGTTAATTTTTCATTGTGTAATCCAACGCGTTCCTAATGACCGTCCTAATGATATCTTGCCAAAGCGCCCGGAGTATCGAACGCGTTCGAGAGCAATTGGGCAACCCGTGCTCCAACGAAATATTTTTATTTAATTAAACACTGTTGATACGCACCTCTCTCGTTCCACCGATGTTAGTCGCACTGTGTAGATATCGTGATTAATCCCAATGAAAAGCACCAGTGGAACTCCTTTAGCGGGATCGACAATGAGCGATCCGACGATCAAAAAATCGATGTCGCGTATATCAAACAATGCACCACGGATAACAACTGCTCTCGCTTTTGGAGCGGAACCGCGTTGCTCGAAGTCGCTATCACCGTCGAGATGCGACTACACGAAAATTCGCACGTCTAAATGGAAATTTTCTCGCCCGCGGGTTTACACTGTTGCCGACACGTACCACCCGTGGTTAACCGACGGTGTGTCTTTGCAATTGGCGGTTCTCCTTGGCGCGCGCACACATCCGTCACGAACGAAGGCCCACGTGCGAATGACGAGCTACCTTTAAGTTGCCGTGCTGCGCACCAGTTCGCCGGGTTCTTCGGGCTCTCCTCCCATTGGTCCGCGTCGATCCCTACCCCTGCGCGGCGCCAGTAGCGTAGCGACGCCAGAACGAGGGAATCTTCCGCCGTTTTAAACGACGCTCCGAAAAGGATTTCGAAGTTTTAAATGCTTAATGGATTAACAAATTTGCGCGTTATGGAAATTATGCAATTATAGCAATGGATGCACCTTCGCGTGGTTTAGATGTGGCGGAATGCTCCGATTCGTGCTGGCCACCGGTGCTGCTTCGCTTTTCGTTATTATCTTGGACTGATCGAGCGAAAGCGTGAATTGATCGCGTGAATTGGTAGCTTTGTACGCTTAGACGGTGATTCGGATAATACTCCGGTGTTTTGCGTGTCGGTTTTTAAATTCTGTTGGGGTGAGTTCGTTTTGGAGCAAGATGCAACCTGCGTGTTAAAATAAATAGAAGTGTAGAAATAGGTGAATATAAAATTTATTTTTTTTTTTTTTTAAGAACACCTATATATGTATTCTAATGAAAAATGCAAAGTTTATTTTCGATCTGTTTCTATAATTGTGTTCTGTACGTATAGAATATAATTATGAATAAATATATATTTACATAAAATCGTATATACTGTATAGTTGCTCCAAATGAAAGCTGCAAATTTAATGTTCGATGCTTTTCGTTTTGCAACCTCCGTCGTGATGTTTTCTTATAAAACGTTTGAAGTGTAAAAATGTTATTGAGTGGCCAGTATTTTGGATTAAAATGCTGCCGGTTAACACGGTCTTGAGAGGGTTCTGGGACCTTCAGGACAAAGACACGACGACGGTTGACTCGCCAGGGAAAAGAGGAGTACGCCGTTGCCAGAATTTTGAGCAGGCTTCAAGAAGCGCCTGAACCGAAACGTTCCTACGGGATCCACGAGGCAAGACGGTGGTCCGTCGAGGAGTATCAGCTGTTCGAATTATTATCGTTGCAGACGACGGCAGATGTTCACTGGCTTGAAACGCTCCCCCGAAGGTTTTGAACCCGCTGATCTCTTTTTTTTTTTTTTTTTAGAGCGGGTGAAAAACTTTCAAGGAAGCCCAACGTCCCGTTCCAATCTCGCACAATGCCCCGATATCTTTCGCACTTTCCGCAAATGGGATGAATGAATTGAAAACAAGGAGAACAAAGGAGTTAAACGTTGACATTTTAAAAAGTATCGGGATTAAGCTTGGCGATTTAATAAATAAAGATCCGTCTAAGCTGTACTGGTCATTATTGGATTTGTACCCTTCAGTTTTGTTTCAATGGGTATTATGTTGCTTGTTCGATTTTGAAATAAAAATGATTGAAACAGGAAATTAAGATTGACCTGTCCCTCTACATTTTACTTTCAAAGATATAATAAATACGCACCATAGGCACCGGTCGAGCATCTTTACTTTCAGTGTTAGCAAGTCCTCCATTTTAATTGGCACTATGCTCACGTTTAGTATGCCATTTCTGCCTTCCATTTCCCAGTTTGTAGAGGCGGTTTCGTCCACGAGTTAAACGAGTCGCATTTGCATCGAATGGTTATTTCGGAAGCGTCGAATCTTTATACAGGGCATCTTCGGCAATAAATGATGAAGGGAAAATGGTACTCTCGAGCGAGCCTGTAATTACGGTAAGCGTAACTCGGCGTAGCCTCTCTTCCACGACGTTTGGCGATCAGCAACCTCTGTTCATCGCATTGTTCGAAACATGCCGTTAGTTGTGTGTCACAAAGTATAGGATATCGTCGTCGTCCGCGTTTGAAGGAGACCCCATAGGTTCGTGGCACGCGCTGCCAGCTGCCCCACAGCTGTCTCTCTCCTCTGTCGTCCCTCATACGTGAAGCCCGGGGTTCTTACCCGAGCGTGGTGAGTTTACCACACAGAACGAGAGCCGTTCACCGTGTGCACGTGCACCAGGTTCGAAACGCGTGCGTCCATCGAAGGTGGCCATTATTTGAGGGGGTATTCTTGTCTGAAACTTTAAAAACATTTTTTTTTTTTTTTTTTTTTTTTTAATTTTTTGAAGCATCTTATTCAAATTTAGATTTTTCAAAAATATTATTTATTATTTTCCACTTAATAAGAATTTGCCCGCGTCTGGCCCCTCCTCGCATAATTTATAGATATATATCTAGGGCTCGTCGCTGCGAAGTTGCATACTCAATGAGGTGCGCCCTTAAGGAACGTCAAGTTGCACGCCTTGAAAGGGTGAATCAGCACCCTTATTGCTTAAGAACAGGGTGTCCCTTTAATACGATTTCAAATACGCGCAACAGCTTTCACAACTTCTAGGTTTCAATTAAAAATAAAATTCTTCAAGCGCCTTTATAATTTCAACAAACGCTTTGTACTTCCCCTCCACTATTTTTCTCTGTTCTCTATTACCTGTACATTTTATACGAACATGTATCGCTTATTTGTCGTATCACTGGAATACGGGGTTTTACATTTGCGGTTTCTCATCCGGCTTGTCCGACACGCAGGAAATAGTCCTGAAGTGTCCTAGAGGATGCAAGGCTATTGGGTTTCGTGTGGAAAAAAGCGTGAGCGGCGTGGAAAAAGTTGGAGAAAGGGGCGGACATCGCCGAGGGACGAAGAGACGCGAGTGCTTGTGCTGAAAGTAGAGGGAAAAAAAAACGGAAAACCAAAGCTCCGTACGATGAAGACCGGAAATCCTAGGCCATTCAACCCTGACACCCGGTATATATTTAGACATAAAGAGACACGCTCTAATCCGATCGCATAGATACTTTCGCGACGACCGATCGGAGGGGGCTGCGCAATGAAATCTGATACGTCGCGAACTTGCATTTTCCAGAAATTCGGTGGTACGCGCAGTATAAGTCAAACTAATCTACTTTAATTAACATGCAAATTTGTCTCGTTTGAATCGACCCAAATAAATAAATAAAATAAATTCTTCTGCTCCTGAAGAAGCGAAGTAAACGATCGTCGCCAACGTGATAATTATAAATGAATTATCTGCGCGCTACGAATGGCGTTACCCTTTTTCATTATTCATACGACAAATAACCCATGGCACTTGTGGCCAGACAATAAACATTAGCGCACCGTTTCGATACTATCAACGTCCCAAAGAAAAATTTAACGCTTCCGCGAAGGAAGTCGATCATTTCCTATTTGCTTATTGCATAATCACGCACGCAACCCCGTTTCAGTATCGACTCTAACTCCGCACACATATTAAGCTGCGAGTTAACCAAGTCGAGTTACACCTATTACATACCTAATTCCCTATTCTAATCATTTTCATCAAACTGAAAACGTTGTCAATAATACTTCTGGTGTTTATTGACGAATCTAATATATTTAAAACGAAACAAAGACACCAGTAACTAAAACTTTGACATAATAAAGAAGTCCATTATCTGAAACCTCATCAACATAAAATTATTTACGAAAAGCAGTGTTTACGAACGTCGGCGTCCATGGCACGACTGAACAAGCATAACGACGGAGAAACGTTCGCTTTGAAAAATTCTACGTGAAAGCTGCAAAGTATCCGCGTCTTTAGAGACACAATACCAGCAGTAGCGGCCTTCTCGAAATAGACGAGAAGCCCAGCCCTCCAAACTCGTCCGAAAATAAAACAGGTTTCTTCCCTGCGAGCCGCGCAGTCCAATTGGTCGCATCTGACGACGGAGTTCACTGATTAATCGACGATTAAACAGGAACCGAAGCTTCGCGTTTTATCGTCGGTTTCTTTTTTTTTTTTTACAATGACTGTGGGACACGAGTTGACAACGAAACGATTCCTTTTTTCCTCATTTCGACGGGAAAAACAACCGCGTGCAACTGTGCAATCCGCTCGCTGCAATTGTCCAAACAAACTGTATTTCACGGAGACCACGCGTTACTTTAATTTATGAATTGCATCACCAAGGGCACGTGCGTTCTGTGCAGTCGCTATCGATATGCTCCTCGATGTTTCACCACGCGGTGACACTTTATTGGCAATGTTTGACAGTGCGCAGACAATGAACGCTGAAAGGAAGATGAAGATGAAAGGCACAAAACGGTTACAAGTCACCTTTATCTGTAAATCAATGAAATTAAGTTTCGTTTGCCTTGCGCGGATCGGTTGGAAATTTTTTCTGTGGTATTTTATTATTTATTTCGATTTCTTATTTATATGTGTGAAGCCAGCTACCGAGTGTCCCCGAATAACCAATTAATTAAAAAAAGATTTACCTATTTCCACTTATATTATTTTGAAACGTGAAGAACACCTGGTTCTTACTATGACAAGCTACCTGTGTTTCTTGTGTCTCGCGTCCAAAGCAATCAGCTCCATGACACTCGGTCCATCCTCGTTTTGATAGTCCTCCCAGTTCATCTTCTTAACATTCGCGCCTTTGAAGTAATCGTCGTCATCGTCGTCGAAATAATCGTCGTGAATGTCCTCGTATTTTCTAGTCGAGTCGTTATTCAGCAACAAACGCCCCAACTCTTTCGCTTTCTTTTGCTTTCCCCTCGGCACACCGACGCTATCATCCTTATCAGCATTTCGCTTTTCCTTTTTTCCTGCCAAATCAAGCAAAAATTTCAGTGAAAATGAATATTTCTGCATATTTCTTAAAGTTTCGTTTCGAACCGTTAGAAGCTGATGTTTCGTATTCTTTACGAAATAATGATTTCTCATGCTGATGGTCTGGCTCCTGTTTATTCGACGTCGCAGGAATGTTTGTTGGTATAGGTGTGTCAGAAAATGGCGAAACAGCCGTTGTACCCCGTGAAAAATCACTGACGTCATCGGTGAGAATCATTGAATGTATTTCTAGAAAAGTAACCACCGAGTAGTATGGAGCAACTGTTTCGCCGAATGCAATAATAAATTACTGGCAGCTTCGTTGCTGGTGAGATATATCTCAGATTTATTATAGTAAACGTGACTATTCAATTTTAACGAGCGTCGTACGTCATGTTAAGAAATAAAAATATTCAGTAACGTAAAACTGAATCTATATTTAACTAGACAAGTATGAAATAATTCTTCGGTATACTTACTCGCCGAAACGTGGGAATCCAGTGTGTTCACTAAACAAATAAATAATAAATAAACTATCGCCCCGTCACGGTACATTTTCTAAACAGTCTTCAACGCTTGTCGAAACGGTCCTGCTTATCAGAACTCCGTCAACAATCTGACGAGGCAGCAATTATCCGCAAGGGTAGTCCAAAGTCAATAACGCTGTTGCCACCACGCGAGACAATCGTAATTATTTACAATCAACCATATACAAAACACACACACACGACGCGCAGAAATCGAACCAAGGATGTGTAACAAGTCAAGAAATATAGTAAGAATAATCATATTTCCATTTATTTCATCGAACTTCGCGTATTTACTGTTACCTAAACCTAAATCAGTAGAAAGTTTAACGAATCGTTCTTATCGCGAACGTGTTCTACATATTCAAAAAGCATGTTACTGTGTATCATATCACTGCGTAACAGGCCTGAAACCACCGTTGGCAAATGGCGGCGTATTGTAGGACGGGTAAACGTATCTGTTGAAATCGTTGGATACGTACTCGGGTATCTGCTCCTGATGGAAGTCGTTCGTGGGTGAGGAATCGACGGAGGGATTGGAGTAATAATGATATCTGCCGTCCGAGTAAAAGTTGACGGGTTTGTCGTAAGTGGGTAGATTGTAATTAATGTGCTCGTAGTCGTGGTACTCGTTCGTTTCCGTGGTGAAGTCGATGTGGTGCACGTTTTGAGGATATCCACCGTAGTAGCCGTTGAAAGGCAGACTGGTCGCGTTGTTAATCGTCGTATTTTCCATTTGCATTGGTGCAACGGTGACATTTTCTGGCTTAGTGTTTGGTCCTGCTCGAAAAACAGGCGAATTGTCTTTTTCGAGGTCTCTAGAGGCAAGCTTTACGGAGTTATCGTCCTTCTTCTTCGATTCCTTTCGCAGGTCGCATACGATAACGGTGCTCGACTCCTGTGGATCGTCACAAAAAATAACAAAATGGATAATTAATATGGAAATTGATCAGAAGTATAGGTATGAGAAGCAGTTTTTAGATTTTTGGAAGGTTTGAGATAAATGTGTCCCTGAGGAGTTTCTTATCGTATGAGTGGAAACAGAAATTACTATTACTGTACAATACTGCGGGTACTTATGCGAATTAATATTTTTATGTACTCAGGTGTAGAACAGACATGTTAATTGATGTATGTTTTGACTCCTACATTTATATATTCTATTAACATTATACCCAGCACTAGAGTCTACATATATACATATTATATAGTTTTAGTGTATATCAAAAATAGACAGGAAGTCACGTGATTTTCCTGGACTAATTTCTATTTGTTCGCCCTACCAAATTCGTACCTTCTCTTCCGCGTTCCGAATGTCTTCGACTGGCAATTCTGCACTCTCGTCAGCCTTCTCTTCGACGTCGTTCGGAGTTCCGAGATTCTCAACCTTCGTGGACTCCTCTGGATATTCGTCGTTGTTGTTCAACAAGTCGTTCGGTTTTTTATTCTCTAATAAATTCGACACTTGCTGATTCTGAGGCAACGTTTGAAAATCGTTTTGACCACCGTTGATCGCCTGCATCACCGAAGGATTCAGTAAAGGATAAAGCCCCAAGGAGGTGGCCAAGACGTAGGGATGCGGCATGTACTGATAAGGGAACGGAAGTTGGGAAGCACCGAAATTTAAGTTCGCTGGTGGAGCTTTGGCATAGGTGTTCACGTTTGGTGGTACACCCGGTATACCGCCTACACTTAAACCAGCTAGGAAAGCCAAAGGTCCTAAAAATCTATTCTTCCTGTTCGATAAGTCTACCTTCGTGTTCGCGATCTTTTTCAAGTCATCAATTTTCAATGGATTCTGTAGTAGGCGTAATGAATTCTTCCAGACCTGTGTCGCTTGCGTTACACTGTCATCATTCTTTAGAGTTGATGTCACTATCGGTTTGCGAATCATTTTTGCGTTTTCAGTCGTTGCGGTGGCATTGCAGAACAGACCTGAAGAAATAAATAATATTAGTACAACATCCTTCTCAGAGAAGAAAAAAAAATAATTCACCACTTCCATAAGTTTGAATTGTTGACCATGAATACTTACTGGGAGAGCAAATGCTGGCACTTAGAATCAAAAAGGTGAAAATGTTCATTGTGACTGCACGATGCTTGGAACGAGAGTGAAGAAAAACCAGTGGAGCTGCCTAACAAAACTGAAAACCTGCGGGTCACCCTCATGTTCTACTTCGTGAAAGTGTGTTTCTTAGATATCGTTAAAAATATGATAACGTACGGCAATCTCCACTTCCTCGTTGGGATATGTGGGTTTCTATTAGAAACTTTTTCATTTTCCGGAAGTACTTGATTAATAAGTCTTCGTTTCTTTCTTTTAATTGTGTCCTATTCTTTAAATCCTTTACAGATGCTACGTTTCAGCATACTTTTACAATAATTTAATGTATCTTAAACATGTTTTGTTGATTAGAATCTTAACTTGCAATCTTCTGTACTTGTTATTAGTTAAAAGGTCCAGTCTTGATATTTTCGATTTTAAAATTTGGCGCGCATGACAGCGACGCTGCGCAGTAGTGCTCTTGATGTCCGCCATTCGGAGGGAATCTTCGCTCTTCGCTGCCGGAAATTTTTTTGGAAAAGATGACCACTACAATCGAAGACACTGTAAAATTGAATGAAAACAGCACCGGCTTAGACTTTGCGACTCCTGAAAAACAAGAAGCTCGTGCATTTCTGCGCGAGCGATTTCTGCGAGTGATTACCGGAATTGTTGGTACGACGTTTTGCTTTTTTCAGTCTGATCCCCTTTATTTCGAATCGAATGCTAGGAAAATATTTATCCAATTTCCGCGTAGACTCACTGGTACTTATTAATCGTCACGTTTACAATTTAAATCAATTTAATTGCACGCACAATTGCTTAAATATGGCGCCAATACCGACGCTGTAATTGTCTTAATGCGCGAACATTCGATTATAAATTTCGTTAAATTTGATTTTCATCGACGGAAATAGTACGCGTTTATTCCTATATCGTGACAGCAATTGTACAACGAACATTTGCTTGGAAATTTGAATAGCTGTGTCTAATGTCAAATGCACTTTATTTGTTACAGGTAAGCAAGCAGAATTTCATTTATATGAGAAGACGAACGTTTCTGCTGAGTTTAGAGGCTGTGATGTGGATTGTTTAGAGGTGTATGTGCGTAATTTGCACACACCGTTGGGAAAGATTCCAGAAGCAGTGTTGAGAGCCACCGATATCATTCATTTCGATGTGGATGACATTAACACTGCACAATAAAGTCTTCATGTATCAGTGAGTGACACTAGTATTATTATTTTTCAGTAGGAAATAGTATCTTTATTTATTAACATATTCTTAATAACTTATACAAATATTTATGTACAATACATAGTTTAAGATCGACGCATGTTTAACATTGTATTTATTTCTGAGATGATACGCCTTAAGTGATCAATTATTTCCTTGAGATGCCTATTTTTTAATACAACTTGCTGCAAAAAATTTAACTTAATTTTATAATTTGTAAAACTTAGTATTTCATTTTTTATTGAGTAAATTATAATCTGGACTAACCTCCATAATTTCTTTGCTTTCTTCACAAGCCAGTCTGTAAGCCTCAGATGTCTTTTTCTCATCGGATTTCATATCCCACTCTTCTTTCAAAGGAATTAAACTTTCTATGTGTGTATATTCCATACCTTGAAGTTGACAGTTTTCGTTGCATTTTTCATAAATCAGTCTTAACCGTTTGAATAATAATTTCAGTGTTCTTAGTTGTTCTTGTACTTTATTCTTCTTTTCATTAGCTAAACTCGACCCTTGAGCCATGCCTAAAAATTGTATAATCCATCTAACGATGTAATTGAACATATGCTGAAAAGAATTCTAATTATTTATATCCTAAATACCATTCGGAGGTTGTAAGAGTTTTAATGTTTGAAAAACTTCTAAAGTACGACTGACAATGTCTTGCACAGTTTCTTGGCCAAATCTGCATAAACTGGCAGTGTTAAATTCTTTATTTTGTTGTTGCTGTTGAGGTGGTGGTTGAGTGGGTTGTACAGGTGTTTGGGGTGTGGTAGCTTGATTACTCGTTTGGCTATTTTGCTGCACCATGGCAGCTTGTTGTTGCTGTTGTAATTGTAACTGCTGTTGTTGCATCTGCTGCATTTGTTGTTGCATTGCAACAGATTGCTGTTGTTGTTGCTGTTGAGCTAGTACTTGTTGAGCACTAGGCATACCCATAGCATTTGTCCCTACACCACCTACCCCAACTCCGACACCCACACCTACTCCAAATTGTTGAGGACTTACCATACCTGGAGAGATATCATCCGCTTGTCCATCTGTACTTTACAATTATTTTCCTTATTGTGAATGTACTTACCACCCTGTTGTGGGCCCATCAAACCAGATACCATTTGTCCTCCACCAAATTGGGTACGCATTGCAGATTGTTGTACATTGGGAAACCCAGATGGGAATGGATGTTGCTGACCCGCCATATTATTTTAGTTTTATCACTATCTCACATTCATTAATATACGATGATATAGGAAGAATCGATCATCAGGATCAGCGAACTTTGAGGTTAAGTACCATTTTAACGCTGCATTTTAACCTTTTCGCACCATCTGATGACAATTTCGCGACAATATTGAATCTACTTTCACTTCTTGATAGACAAAGCAATAAATAATTATGAAAATATTGCTCAAAATAGAAATTATGTTTGACACACGCGATAGTTTCGAAATCAATAATTTCTACAGCTATACAACTCTGTTCCCTATGCAGCGTTACATATAAAATTACACCATCGTGCCATCAATACATAAATAACAATAAGATATACATTGTTCCTCTCTGTACGTGCTCCGAAAATCGGACGTCTCACATATTACGTTATAAATTGTTGACATCACATTGCGCACGTGTACCGCGCTTGCACTGTCAGTGATTTATCTTATCGACTTCTATTTCAATTGTACAACGTAACAAAATTTAAAACAAATTTAACAACTATCCGCCTCTGATTTACTTTTCTACATAAGTAACGATTTTATTCGAATCTCGGATTTTTTATACGTTGCAGAATTCTCTAAATATGGATCCTTGTAGTTTGTAGTGTCGCAACATGAGGGCAGTAGCTTTCAATCTTCAGGATCAAGGATGATCTCGTCGTACCTAGTTTACAATGCATATTTGTTTACTAAACAATAACCGTATGACGTACAAACAGGTGTATTTTAATAATAAAATAATACATTGTACCTTCCGTGCCCGTATTCAGTCCTGGATTATGTTTTTATTATTTTAGAATAAGTGTCATAAGCATATTATAGTAGGTGTGCTTATGAAGGGGTCCACCAAAATTAATGCTTGAAGAAATCATGAATAAAAGTTGATTTCTTTTTCATTCGAAGAGCTCAGTTATTATCAAAAATACTGACTGGATTAAAACTTACATTTTTTTTTTTTTTATTTAAAGTTCGTATAAATAAATATAAAATCGCACATTTTGTGCAGTTTTATATTTTTCCCGTGCGTGGTCAGAATACTCGTTGATATATACTTAGCAGCAACAAAACATCCCTCGAAACAAAGGATCAAAGTCGACGTGAAATTCTTTGAAAGATAGGTCAGAATTTGACGGTGTTTGTGCGATGTCTACACAGGAGATAAGGTCAGCGCACACGAAATGAACGAGAGTGTAGACCAGTGATTCTTAACCACTATGTCGTAGCATACCACTGTCCCAGGAAGTCATCCACACTGCCCTGTAAATGTTTGTCAACGGATCTAATGATTCTTTTCTTTCTTTTTTCTTTTTATTAATTTTATGTCTTTTTTTTAAACTGTACATAGCTAAATAAATTAAGGATGTTCTAAGAAGCTATACAGTGAGGGGAAAAAATAAAAAAAAATGTACCTTTGACCCGTATAGTGAAGCAAAAAGATCAAGAATTTTCTTTTAAGTTTTACAGTAAGCTAAACAAAAATTAAGAATATTCCTATAAGGTGTATAGCGAGGAAAAAGATCAAAAACCTACTTTTAAACTGTACAGTAAGGTAAACAAATCAAGGATCTTCCTATGAGCTGCACAGTTAGGTGAACAAATAAAAAGCCTTCTTTTAAGCTGTCCCTTAAGAATCTTCTTCGAACCACTGCCACAAGCTTTAGGAATCCTACACTGGGAGTATAAAAAAGGTTAAGAACCACTGGTGTGAACGCAACGGCCCAATCTTCTGTCTCCCGTGCACCTTGCTTGCCTGCTCGCTCACAGGAACATTTCTTTCTTCCGACACAGAGTCAGTGTCCACCGCGCTGTCACATGGGCTATATGGTCGCGCTGAAAAACGACGTCAAAATGCTTCGAGGACGATCGATCCTCTTTGTGCTGTTCACAAACGTTATTCTCTCTATCGAGGGTAGAACCATACAAAACAGGGCTCCCAAGTTCGATAGCAGTACCCTGAAGAGCCTAGGAGATCTAGATCGATCGGTGGACGAAAGTATGGACGGCAAAATAATCGAGGATCCACCCTTGAAGAGGGAAGCTGTAAGCAGCCATCACCGCGAAGAATCCAGCGCGAAGAAACCCAAGAAGAGGAGCGACAACTCGTGTCCTTACGGAAACAAAGACATGTGCTTAATATTTTCTCTGTCCAAAATCGCCAACGTTCAAATGGCTGTTCCCGATCAGAGATCGTCGGATCGAAGTCTGATGGCGAAAATGTTCGACGCGTCATCGAAAAGCAGCGGAATATACGAAGAAGAGAAACCTCGGCATCCTTCAAAGGAACGAATGGATCCACCCAACGTCCATTGCGGAGCGATTCGCGACGTCTACATACCGGAAGTCAAGCAATACCTGCCAGCCTTCGCGTGCACGTTTGGAAATAATACGTTCGTTCTGTCCAGCGCGAGATTCCTTCAAGATCGACGGCGTTATTTGAGTATAAACGTGAATGAAAACACCCTGGAAAATATCAAATTCGCGCCGAAGATTTCCAGGAGCAACGAGGTGAACGTGATACCTGCTCTGCTGGTTTTGAATGGCGCCAACAACGATTACAGGATAGAGACGCGTGAAACTGGCAACGAAATGTCGATCAGAGGAAGACATTGATAAGAAAGTAACAAAACGAGTAGTCGTGTTCTGTGGACGGTTCGAACACCCGATGATAACTTCGAATTCTCTATCTTCTGTCGAGCGAACTACACGTATACACGAAACGTGATTTCTACGACTTTGTAATGTTTGTTACGAAATAAATCAGTTTTATCGATTTTACGAAATTTAAAGTTGATCATAATACGATGTTTCGATCACTTTGGCCCTACGATCGAGAAAAGATATACTACAAATTTCGCACACACACTTTAATCGAGTTTAAACCGTAATGTAATTCGATTCGTAACAGTGGAGAAAAACTCGTAAAAATAAAGAAAAACCCGTAAGATCTATTTAAACAAGTATTTATCACAAAATTGTCGATTATCCGTATTGCTATAAATAAGTATCACTACGAGGGGTGTCATTTTGATTTCTCTTCTAACGATTGATTCTCTATCCGTTCCTTCTCCAATTGAAGCGCCATTTTTGGCGTGAGGGCTAGCTTCCGAACGTTGGAGAGGACGTTGGGAAGACGTTGTTCCTTGACAGGTAGTATTTCGTCAGTAAGTATGGACGCGGAGGCGTCCTCGTCCATGGAAGAATGCCGTGCGTCCTCGCTTAGGCGAAGATCCGGTTTGACTGATTCGTCGATAATGATTTGATCGACTTTCACAACTGGTCTAAAAGTTCGTACGTTCTTCCTGCGTTGAGGTTTGTCCGACGATAATTCGATCGGATTCGGGCTCGAATGGGGCCCACCGTACGAATTCTCCGTTTCCTCCTCAATTTCGACTCGGAGGTCCTTCAGGGCTTTCTCTTCTTCTTCGGTCAACGGTAGGACCTTGAAAATCAAACGATCGAATGATTTATTTAGTAATTCGGAATGATTAATTTTGTTTTGAATATCATTATGATATTTAATAGATCAACATCGATCAGTCGTAAATTAATATATTCGATAGTTTTAGTAAAATCTCTGAACGTACTATCTTCATCGTTCACGGTGAAAGAATCGATTGTCTCTGTCGAGCCACGCAGATATTTATCTTAAATGTATGAATAATGTTCGCTGACGGTGTTAATTTACTCCTATGAACAGGGTATAAGTTGAGACGACAAGCGATTTAATGAGTCACCGATTTCTTCCTTAGATTAGCCATTGTGCGCGAACGTCAATTAAAAATAAAAATGTAGATGTACGCGTATAGAAGCTATGTACACAGTTTAAAATACTGCTAATGATATTTCTCGGAAATGTCGTATCGATTGTCGTCAGGCGCATGCAATTACCGTGAAATAATAACCACGTACCGAGATAGTCGATGATAAGTGACTCGAGACGCGATAAAAACGTTGGAATTTCGATTAATTTAAGTGATGTAGGTAATATAACAATTAGGATAGTTGATATAGTAATATAAATTCGAATCCAATGCATACTTTGACTACTGGCTGAGAGACTGTTTTATTCTTGGACGTTTCCGTCGGTTCCTCATCCGCTGGTTTCATCTTCTCGTCTTTGGTTGGTACATCGTTATCCACCTGTCTGACGTGCACAGCTTCCACGTGGATTTTGCTTTCCTCGTCCTCCTCGAGGCTGATAGCGGCCGGACCTTCGACGTTAGCTAAGTTCTTCTGCAACGCAACGTTCAAAGATATCGTTAGTCGTCGAATAATTTGACCGGGGAATCTAAAAGACACTTTCTTTCTTTTTCCTTTATTTTTCGTTGAAGGCAAAGTAAGTGCTAACTTTTAGCGAGAGGATGAAATGGTACGTGTTAAATTGTCTCGGGTCACCTTAGGTAAGCTCGATCCTTCGTGAAACGCCTCTGCTAATGCGGGATTTATTTCCTCCAATGGTTGATCCCCGTGCCTTATATAAACGGGGATATAACCCGGGATGCTAGGTAATAGTTGGAGCGGGAATGGATCTATAAGAAATTAAGATCGAATTAAAGATACGTTAAAGAAGCGGCGGCCTTTGAGACATGATAATTCGCGATTACATGTACTTATGTATGTACTAAGATGATAGTCCACAAATAGACGTTTATCGTGCAAGATACGAGTCCTGTAGCAATGAAACATCTTCAATGATTACGAATCGATTTCTGATCGAAGCTTCACCGGGGGTATCGATGCGGGATGCGCGACGATGCGGATACGGGATCACCGATTTAAATATCCCATGATCTAACACAGCGATGAGCAACCTCTGTTTTTCAGTAAAAATTGAATATAACGTTTAACAAATCTATTTTATTAATTTAATATCTGTTAATCTTTCGTCCAGGACATAGGTGTGTACGTATTTCTTGTGTGGATCTTGGTTCTTTGGTTCGCTAGAAGCAAAGTATTTCCTGATATTCATTATTCATACTATTCGCTATTTACACATTATTATTATTCAGCCGTAGATACACCACGGTACGTCCTCTCTGCGTTTCTTCTCGTATGTAAGGTTCGCTCTATTCGAATACCTACTCGAATAGTCGTTAACTTATAAACCAAACTGTAAATTCCCTGTCTTAGAAAATTCAAGTAACGAAGATTTTCGTTTAACATCGAAACTACCAAGCCGATCGATATCGTCCATATACTTCAAACTTCTTCTTAAAATCAAAGTTATACTCGTAAATGTTAGCCTCTGTTGTTACAGTCACTCGATGATCCACGAAACTTGATCGATCCTCACCCAGCAGGTCGCTCATCGCTCACGCATCGATCCAACAAACCACCGACCACGTTCCACGCGTATAATTTTATGTACACTCCCGTTCGGAAACATTAACATAACGATCCCCGGCTTCGATTCACTTCGATTCGCCCCAGACGTGTCGTTTCTCGCGCTCGATCACGAAACCTCGGCGACCATTCGAATGCAGAATGCACACTTCACCCGATCGATTGCTCCGCTCGTACGTGCACATTCCGGTTGCGTAGGCGGTTCCGTTTCGACCACTCGATCCATAATCGATCACAGATATCCCCGTCGTTCACACGAAGCGGTATTCGAACGCGAGAAATCGTCGCTCCGGCATCGCCACTTGATCGTCCCACGGCTCGATCGAGCACCTCGTGGGATTCGTATTTCGGCACGTTTCACGCGGGATTTTCGAATATTTTTTACTCACGGGCATAGTCAACGGAGAGAGACATTAGAAGCACAAGATGGTAGACGTATGCCCTGGTACCACGCAGCATCTCGGCAGCCTGCATCTTTGAACGGTACTGAGCCCCCGTGGCACGGGGCTCGCTCCTTTATATGTACCGTCCCCTCCTACCCCCATTCTGCTCGCAGACTATGCCACGGACTGTTCCCTCGGGGTTAACCATTCCGTTAATACTCGAGCAAAAAGTTAAATCTTCCTTTACTTTCGGCAATCGGGGCCCGTTGTTTATTAGGACGCCTCCCGTCAGCCGTTTCTAGGAAACCGATCGATCGCGGAACGTGCCGCATTTCAGCCTGCTTTTTCGTCCTGTTACCAGGATTCCTCTTCGGCGGCTCCTTCGCTTCGAGGAAGGGAAGACACATACTCGACCGTTCGTATGCGCGCTGGGTCACCGGTAATCGAAATAAATAAACATTGGCGAGACTCGGGGAAGGGATTTGAAATTTCAAGTGCTTCGGGGTCAAAATGGCTCGTTCGACGACTGGTTTGATAACAATTTCGATAGATAATTTATGAGAGACGTATCTTGGTTGGGAGCTTCGAATAAAAGTATCCTTCGACGGGCTAATTTTGTAATAATTGTTAGTAGTAAATTTGAGCTAAGAGATTTGATAGGATCCAATCATCTTTTGTATTCCTTCTCGATACAAAAATACTTTATTCAAAAACAAAATCCCGAAACCCCTTCAGATGCTCGAGGAGTATCTGGGTTATGAACAGGGTCCTTCGCGTCTCGCAGATAATAATCATACCTTGGCAGCGAAGGATCTTCGACCTTGAGTCCTCTTCTTCTTCCTGATCGTTCGAGTGAGTCCGTTTCGTGGAACGCCGGCGCGTAAGTCTTGCGAATCGAAGGCCAGATTGATCCACGAACGATAAAGATTGATAAATCGTAATGGCGGCTCCATACGTCGCGTTTCGATCCTGTCTAGATATCTCTCGGAGTTCCTATGCGTCGCAATGAAGTCTCCTGTAAACCGTTGAATGGCAGTCATTTATAACCGCGAATAATATCCAGAATCCATTTTCGATGCATTCGAGATCTAACGTGATTCATGAATTTCTGTGACTTCGTTTATGAAATAACTGAAGCAACTGAATGCACGAGGCGAGTGAAGCAAATAAAGAAAGTGTAGCAGATGTAGCAAATGAAGGAAACGAAATATGTGAAGTAAATGAAACAGATGAAGCAAGTGGAAGACATGGAGGTAATGCAGTAATTAAGAGAAACGAAGCAAATGAAACAGATAAAGGAAATGAAGTAAATACAGCAAACGAAACAAGCTAAGCAAATAAAAAAATTAAAATACCCAAAATTCGTTGAACAGCCTAAGCAGTCTAACCTTAATGCACCTGGTGATTTGCACACCGTGATGTGACCCACCGTTCAATTTTAATGCTGTCTTATTATGCGACGTTCTAGCCTCGGGGGCGATGATGTATCCTGAACGAAAGGTCAGGATCACAGCACGTACTCGGCGATTCGTGTAGTCTCCTCAAACGTTCTACTCATTCTCGTTGCAACGCTCAACAGGTTTGGGAACAGCTCGATGCACGCGTGACACCATCTCCGACGGGATTTAAAATTGCATCACTTTCCGTTTTACGTGTTGCGTTTATCAATTAATCGCTTCGGTACATGGAGACCTTTTTCCCCGGCGGCATTTTGTGGAGCGGTTTGCATAAATTACGCGTACTCTTCTTCTTTTCGGTTGGAATGTAACTTGGATATGCACATTCTCTGTAATTGGATACCAATTTTGTTTATTTTCTGTGGTGGATCTTCTTTGGAAAGGGTCAAATATTGTAGGTTTTTTGTTTTGATTTATTTGAAATTGTTCGTAGTGTTCGAAGTGGCCTAGAGTCGGTACTGTTTATTGTTTCTAATTTCTGGAATTTTATCTCTTTCATTCGCCTCGTTTATTTGCCTCGTTCATATCATTTCTTTTGGATTTCGTCCGAACACTTCATTTCAAACGAATTAATCGAAACAGATACTATCATTCATACGTATTGTCCAGAACTGGAATTACAGATAATTAAAAATTACGTCACTTTCTGTTTTACATTGCTCGACACGAGTCAGGGCTCCGCTGGCTGATTAGCAGCGCATCATCGATCGACGTCCCCCTTTCCGCTCGCGCGTGTTAAAGAAGGATGTAAGTGACCACATAGTAGATACTGTATTGCCGGATGCGCGTGCATAATCTCTCGCCCGTTGACACAGTTACACTTCAGGTTAAGCAGGTCGACCCGCGTGTACTTTCAATATTATTTTTCGGGGAGAAAGATGCTCCGGTCAGGAAATCGAATCGAAAGGCATCACCGACTGGAAATCGCCACGTTTTCACCTGGCAATAAGGAACAGATCCAGGTGGAAACCGGTTCGATGCAAACACTTATCGTCTAACTAATCGCTATTCGTTTTCTGCTGTATCACTCCGCTAGCAAGAAATTTATTGCAAATTGGTGAGAAATTTACACTAAATTGGTCGTTATGTTGCTATCTTTATTCGAAAGTGGAAGTACGTGCATTGCTTGCACTACTTATGTTCGGAGTGAGTTCCCTACTTAGGTTAATTCGTTCCGCGTATCTTCGCGTTGAATATGATTCGCTTTTGACGCGCAGTGTTAATCTGAAAGGCAGTAGCGGTTGACACCAGGTTACTGGAAATTTCATATTAGATTTCTATTACCAAAGTATTGCTGCATTAGTGATGTTCATTTATTGGAACTAAGTACATTGACATAAAATAAGATGGAATTTGTAACCAAAGACCAAACGAAGAATTCGTTTAATTTCTTATTATTCTAGATGCAGAAAAAGTTTATTGAACTTTTTTGTGGGAAATTTAATTCCATCGAATATTTACCTAAAAGATTTTGCAGAATATTCACAAATAACGAAGATATCGCAGTAAAAAATTTAAAAGCGTTACCCATCGTTATCTGCTCCACTTTTTATTCCTCCCATTGTTCTCACGCCGTAGACACCACGAATGGAAAGTAAGATTCGGCTAAGAATAACTCCTAGAAAATAGGCACCGTAATCGATTCCCGGCGCGTTTTCGGATCAGGTTTTCGGTTGATTTTCATGCGCAGGCGCGCATCGTGGAACGTGGCGCGGCTAGATCGGTAGCAATTGCCAAACAGGATGTTCTTGTTGCATCGCGGGTCGCGGGAAATTGTCGTTGAAGACCGTTTGTTATGTGTCCCGTTGGCGAATTGGGCCAACGTTGTTCCGGTCGTTCGAACCTTTCCGCGGTTGGCAACCGTTTTTCGCGGGGCGTTGGAAAATCTGCATGGGAACGCAGACATCGGTGTCGGGCGCTTAGAATCGTCGATTCGAGCTGGATGCAACCGGTTTCGTTTACGATCCCTAACATCGCGGATTAAATTGAAGCCTTGCCGTTCTGTAATCACCGTGAAACTTAAGCCACCTCGTATGAATTGCAAGCAAAAAGAGAAGTGCCGCTTTAAAGAAGTCAAACGCCGTTTTTTCGACGATTCTTCGTTACTTCAACTTGCGTCTTATCGCAGGCGCGTTATCAGAGACGAAGCTTTCACTTCTCTGGTTGTGTTAGAATACTGGTTTCGAACAAAAGTTGGTAGCTTTTTTTAGTAGCTGAAAGAATTGACAAAATCTTTCCATGCGATTTGTTTGCATATCGGTGAATTTTACGTTTATTTATAGTCTATTTGCTATCAGTTACTTGAAACATTGTTTTCTCAATTCCCAACGGAATTTCAATCTTCTTCTGGACGTAAACTTTTTCCTGTACGAATACTTTCGTCGTTCACTGTGTGCGTGATATGATCGAATCGAGCTGGCGTTAACTACAGTCATTAGCATCGCCACTTTATTAGCGACCATAAAAAAATAACCTATTCGGAATAACGGGTTGTAAACTGGGTCAGCAGTGTCCACGTTCACGTATACATACTGTACGAGACATTGACCCAACGAAAACCGATTAATCTCTCTCGAACGATCGAATTTATCGACTCGATACTGTAATCTGTAATGAATAAGACCTGGAATGGATCTCGTGTACGCGTGCCAGGGCAGAGCACGTTATTCTGGATGAATTAGTCACGCGATCATGTTGCTGATACGTGACAGTGGAAGTACCAGGTGTACAATTTCACGAAAAACGATTAATCATTTTGTCTGAGATGAAACATCCTAGAGAAAAAATTATATATGATCGTTCTTAGATGTGAGGAAATTATTTACAAAAAAAAAATTAAATTATTGAAACGATTGAGTCTTGTTTTATTGGATTCACGGGTGTTTTGCGGTGAATGGTTAAGGAAGAGTGATACACTTTAATTTCTCATTCCTAAGTTTTGTTCACCGGGAAGCGAGACTGTTTTAAGCAAGGAATAAAAGTATACACGTGATTTTGATTTTTCTGACACGACCGTGCAAAATTTCGACTCGCGTAGCCTGCTCGAATAGATTGAAGGAGAAACCAAGGTCCGATTACTTCACCCGTCGGAGTGAGTTTTTGTGATTCGCCCCTGGTTCGCCCAGTTTTTCCTCATTGCGTCCGCCTGGTCCCGAAGACCTCGAGGGTCTTTCGCCGACGGCGACGGTCAACGACCGGGAAATACTCGCGAATTGTGACGAAGAAGATGACGAAGAAGAGGATTGGAAAACTACTATCCGTGATCGAGTCTCGGACGCAAGTCATTCGACGACCTGCAGACCCACATTTTCACTCTGTTTCCAACGAGTACCCTGTTAATCTCTGCCTCCGCAATGATTTACGGTTGAGCATTATCCGTGCTTAAAACCTACGATATTTAAATACTATCGTGAATTGTTAATGGCAATCATATTTCCATGGTTTATGGCAGTTTTTGTCTCTTTAATCGCAGGACTTTCTAACGAAATAACATTGCCAATGTAACAAACCGCGACATTACATAAAGTAAATTATTATTAAATGATGTGTTAAAATAAAATTTATGAAGATAACAGTAATTTATATTCGCGACGTGTTCGAATATAATCTTCTGCGCGAACTCGGAAACTCGGACTTCGCTTTAGGTGCGGAATTTGTTCCGCACGCGCGCGCGGGCTCGGAAAAATAGAGAAAAGAATCAAAACTTCACCGTTATGTTCACCCAACTCGCGCCATAATTACACCACGGACTTGCTACTTGCCAGATGTATACGCACAACGATACAGTACCGCTTAAACCGTGTCGCGGAAGCTGCAGCTCGGCAAGGGGCTAAATTTATACTAAGCAACAATATCGCTGAAATTAGTCGATAAGTTTTGTACTCCATTATTAATTTTCTACTTTGACCACAGATGACCACCTTTTCTCAATCTTACTGACGAAGTCTCTGAACCCAACTTAATATTATAAATTCGATCGAATCTCTATAAATCTTAATTAACTATTTTTCGAACGCACTTTCGCCGATCCTTGTTTTGTCCTTGTGGTAATTATCATAAAGTACAGTCGCGATCTCTGTCGATGCTTAATGATCATTACCCACGTACGATCTTTAATTTACGTCGTGTGTTATTGTACGTGACGTGATGTAAACGTTTAGTAATAAAGTAGCCGTGTCGGCCTTCGTTTACATGTTTATCGTCTTCGCTGCAGGCTTGAAACGCACTGCCCGTTTCATTGAACCACTTGTCGCTGTCACGTTCGAATAATCGTTTGCAATAATGATTGCACTCTTGTCAATATCAATATACTTAAAGCAACCAGTTCAACAAAAGTAGAAAGCTAACCATAAACAATTCAAACTGCAATCAGAAGTATGATCGTCCTCTTCTAAGCTTCTACTTGTCGCTATCGCATTTGAATAATAGTTTATAATGATCATCGCCGCTCTTATCGATATTGATCAAAGCAACTAATTTACCAGAGATAGGGATCATAACTCAATTGCCAAAATTTTCAAGCAATCAGAAGGAAGGTTGCTCTTAGCTTTCACTCTCCATATCGATAGCTATCGTGGCTCGTCTTCCTTCTCAACGCAACTTTTTTCTCCTTTTTTTTTTTTACATGGAAATACTCTAACTCGTTACACGTTCCGTGCAAAAAGGAACGAGTGTGTCTGGGACGTAAATGTACCTCCGCCGAGTTACTCGATTACCGACAGGAGATTCAATAAGGAGCCGTGGACGTCGGAATAGTAACTCAACCGGTCTTCCACTTTATCAAGGCTCATGCTTGCTGTTAGAAGTCCCAGCTACATCGTGTTTCGACAAAGAAGCAACGAAAGAAACACGTAACCGGGAAATAACTTTCGCAAATTCAAGTCTGGAAACGATTGACTCGCTGGAAGACATTTATCTTCTTAAGGGCACACAGTTGTCAGTAGCTTGAATTCGAGAATTTTTTTTTGTTTTAACATTAAAAAAAATTTTTTTTTTTTTTTGAATTTTGTTATTACAGACATGGCAAAGGACATATTCAGTTTCCATCTAGTTGTAACTTAATCAATTTTTCTCGATAAAATTGAGAACTCTTTGAATAGCTACTTGAGATTAAGACGTAAATTTCAATTTTCTACATGCTTATGATCCATTCGCACTTGCATCCGCGTAAATCGTCAGGATCGATAATGAAGCGATGAAAAAACAATTTGTGCCCCATTACATTCTCTTCCGAGTATCTGTAAGGCTACCAAGTTCGCGGCGAGTTTGAATCGAACCTCTTCCGAGTGATCGATTGTCCCGCGATCGTAAACTCAAGTACATCGTGAATCGTAAAATCGAATAAACTATTAAAATCCACGGCGTAAAGCACACAGCATGCGAAACGATGCTAGTTAACCCGTCCCGTCTTCCCCTGTTAACGACGAACATTAATCACGGGATGGAACCCGCGATCGTTTCCTGGAAATCGCTTCGGAGGCCGAATAACGCGATAAATCCTCGCATTTTATTAAAATCAAACCTGTCCAGGGTGTTAATTTTTTTTTTCTCTCAGTTTTCGTTTTTTTCCTTCGTTTATTTGATTCTTGGCAGAGTGACTGTACAAATGGACGATCGCGATGACGGACGGTTACATTGTAGTAAAATTAACATGATCGGGGTGTTAACGTGTTTCGGTTCGATACATCGTTGCGATTATTTGACTATCGGCAGCATGACGACTGGCAACTTTTCCACTCTTGATGTTTCCCTTTGGTTTATTTACCCCTAGAAAGAAGAAAAGAACGTCAGAAAATTTGTCGAAGGGATAACTTGGGGTTGGCTTTGTTTGATAGATGAATGAAACTTTGTACGTACCAACTTCCTGCTGATGCGGAAGCTTGGGCGTACGAACCTCCGCCACCGCCGCCGCCACTAAAGTACCACGGAAACGAAAATATATTAGATCCAGTCGATCAAAATTTCAACACAAAATTAATTATGATAACACAATTATACAGGATGAAATAAATAGTATAAAATAAATAATACGATGAATGAAAATAAATAGTATAAAATTGGAAGAACGTACCATGTATTGCAACCTCCCCCAGACGGCTGGTGATAAGATGGATAACCAACTGCAACAGGTACAACAACTACGGGTATAACACCAATTGTTTTGCTTCCTATAAAAAAACATTGAGCGTCAGAAGCGGAAGCGTTGCTGCAGTTCTTCATGGGGGCGTGCTGCATCTTTTCATAACAGTTTGCAAACTGTTTGAGCCACATGACACGCGAGACACTGTCGTCGCTTTCATTGATAACACATCGTTAGATTGCCACGTAATTGAAATTATCTTTTGGCGATTCCATCAAAAATTTTCTTTCCGGAAGTTATTATTATCTCACTACTGAATGCTTTAAAATTGAGGATGTTAGTATATCTACTCAAGCATTGAGATTATTATTAATTCACTACTCCTTGTTAGCAATTTGTTTTAAATTAATGCGGTACTACTTCTGCCACAGTTATTTCTATTTAGGAGTACGAAAGGTGTTAGTATCTACTTCTGATAAATAATACTGTTAATTTGGCATTTGTTGCATAATGTTATCGGTATTTACTGCAGCAAATTGTTTTAGTGTGTGCGTCATAGCCAAAGCGTGCAATACTTGTTATTAACCGACTATTATTAAATGATAAAACTAAAGTTATTAAACCACCATCTGTGAGTGACGTGACGGTCAACGTGTTAAATCTGATGCAAACTTAGAATACATTCGGTTCTAAATTACCTCTACCAGATTAATATCCTTTTTGTTGATAGCCGCCATGATGATGACTACCACCGCTGGGGTAACCATAGCCACCTGTGCAACCTCCTCCACCACAACCTCCACCGCTAGGATACCCACCTCCACCGCTAGGATACCCACCTCCACCACCTCCTGGGTAGCCACCTCCACCACCTCCTGGGTAGCCACCGCCACCACTAGGATAGCCACCGCCGCAACCTCCTCCACCGCATCCTCCTCCACCGCCAGGATAATAGCCACCACCTCCTGGATAACCTCCGCCTCCCCCAGGGTATCCACCACCCCCACAGCCTCCTCCACCGCAACCGCCCTTGTTGTATCCTCCTCCACCCAGGCCGCCTCCACCTCCACCGCCAAGTCCGCCACCGAACCCAGCTCCGCCACCGAACCCACCTCCGCCTCCGCCTCCGCCTCCGTATCCACCTCCGCCGCCGTATCCACCTCCGCCGCCATGGAAACCTTTCAGTTTGCACTTCAGACAGGGTGACCTCTTGTTACGGACTTTCGTCATCTTCTCCAGCTTCGATTTCGACGGCATCATGCCGTCGATGTCATTCTGATCCAGATTCACTTTGAGCAATTTCGTCTCGCCATTCTCCTTGATCTTCTCCACTTTGAAACCCTCAACGTCTTCGAGGTCTGTCGCCACTTCATCGAGATTCACCGGCTCGTTGGTTTCCGTGTCGTTGCCGTCGACCTCGACGAGCAGGAACACGGTGGCCAACGGTCCTGTTCGAAACGCATCTTTATTATTTCGATGCAATTGTTTTATACGGGAAAGTGGAATTTTTATTGTGCTAAGGGTCCCCGGAAGGGAATTCAAACGTATGGGAACGCCATTTTCACGCCTGTGATTTTTAAAATCAAGGTTTCGGAAAGAGCCGTTTGCGAATGCTGGAGCTAGCACAAGTATTATAAATTATTTACTTAGAACTGACCGATGTTGGTGTTTACAGTTGCTGCGATAACTTTGGAATTATAGTATGTCTTTGTGTCATGTGTACGATAAACTATTGACTGTTGCGATTAATTCCTGTTAGGAGATCGTTAAATGCGTCTTACTCAGTTCTATATTTATCAAGCTGGCATGAATGATATTTCAAGGAGATTCAACCTATCGAACTTGATTTTCAATGTTATTATAGGAAAGTTGTCTTTAAAAAATAAAATAAATTTCGTGCAAGGGAAGGAGGTCGATTGCATTCGTTCTGAAATATTTATGAAGCAGTATATCCTAAGCGTGTCGTTTGCAGTTTGTTATTTATACTATATCAATTTTTGAATAATTAGTGCTGCATGAACTTCTTTTTTTTTTCGTTTATTCTCTCTGCATGTCCTACGACTGGCAATGTCAAACGAATGCTAATGATACCAACTGCATAAATCATGTTTAGTTACCTAGCAGGCTTGGTACTTTCTCAACTACTTCGTTTTCGAATATTTCTTCGGCAGACTCGCCACTAGAGTTCTTCACTGCGAAGAGATTTATAACGAAGAGCACGTACTGATGTTCCTTCTCAGGTTTCGGTGGAGGCTTCAGCTCAGTCGACAAGGTAGTGTCGTCGACAATTATCGGATCAATTACTACATCCGCACCAGGATCTAGAAATCATATGATCATGGATCAGTTATAAACATATCGAAATTTATTTATTCGTCATTATTTATTTGTTATATATTCATATTTCATGTACTGTATGCTTCTTTCATTATGTACGTACAGATCCAATCCATTTCAAATTTACAAATAAACATATATATTCGTATGTACATATGACTATATATTACAGATGTATGTGCTTAGATCTGTGAACATGATAAATAAATAATATGGTATTTATAGAATGCACGTATAGAAGCAGTGAATGTAAGTTTATCTGTACGAAGTCTCGAACTTTTTAAAATGATCGCGGTTAGCACATCACGCGTCAAGAAATATGACATTGGGAACACGATAGGTTGGGAATAAACTGCACTGGAACATTTCCCTAAATTTGTTTCTAACACGTCATGAATAAAAAAGTTATCGCGTTCGATAATAACGTACTTTAGTTTTCCAGGCTGCAATATTTCCATATATCAATTGATAAATATCGATCTAAGTATCGGTTAGTGCTATTTTATGATAATACAATTTTTCACTAAAAATATAGATCTCTCCTAGACAGCTTTATCGAAGAAACTTCACACTGAATTCAAAAATCGTATATGATTAATAAATACAGCCGTGAGTTTTATACTTATTCTCAGAGCGTATATTCTACATACATTAAATGAAACAGAGAGACAAGAAATATTATTTTCACGAATTTTTCCCGGCACAAAGTGTAGAAAATAAAAACGAATTCACTAGAAAAAAAAAGCAATAATTCGGCACTTAACTGATTAATGGAAGAAGAAAACGAGTCGAAATCACAAAAAAACGAAGTCGTTATTCGAGTATGTTCCTACCTGAAGTTGGTAGGGCCGAAATGGCCGCGACAACTAGTATCAGGGCCAGAGCCCTCAGGCTCCACGACGTTTCACTGGTCATTCCGAAGAGCTCTAGGACTCTCCAGTCGCACTGTGCTCCGATCCTTTCATCTCGCCGCTTTTATATCCATCGATCTTTACACACGCACGATTCTATTCTAATTATGTAACATCGCGAGTAACGCGAACCCACCACTCCACCGATTTCCGTCGCGGTCGGCTGTTTACCGACCGGCTGCATCTCTTGCACTTTTTTCGGTTTTTCCGCGGGGATTCCTGTTCCGTCGATACGTGAGATCTGTTACGTTGCTGTTATTAGAGTGACGTGAATTCGCAATAAACGTTCAGCACGGTTCGCCCGTCGTTAATTACGCCCGTTTCGACGAAACGCAAGAGAGTACAATCAGTGGCCGAGCAGACGACGAAATCGACAGTTGGAGGATCACCGTTGACAACTGAAACAGATATCGTGTTCGTACAGTGGACGTACACCATGCTACCGAGTTAAGTTGTCGTCGAATCAGATTTGTCGAGTATTTTTGTTATTGGCCACGCGGTTAGCAACGAATGGCTATCGAAAAGTCGTCGGAAAGAAACGTAATAGTAACGAAAGCAAACGACAAAGAGAATAATTATCGAAAAATTTTCTTTTTAAGTTGCTTCAACCTTAGAAGCCTGATTTTCCAAATTTAAGGGCTAAGTAAGTGATTTTGTGATATCTTATTACTATGTACTGTGAAGCGAGAGACACTCGGCAACTTAACTTGGAAGCACTGTACGTATGACTTATGGAGACGTCGCGTGAACTATATCGATAACGTATCGTTTAGGAAAATATCTGTCAATTCCTCGAATAAATTAACCGATTTCTGCGGTTAATACGCATATTCTGAGTGGAGTTTGCCCTTTGCGGTGGCGATAGATAACACGATCTTTCGGAGAAGAAAGTCAACTTCGGTAGAAGGATGATAATTAATAATTGTTGACAGCGTGGTTTCAATTACGACGCTCTCGAATGGTTTTGGTCGTCACTTTTGGGATTTCTTGGGAAATCCGATGTGAAGAAGAGTAGTGCTAGGTAGATGGAGCTGTTTTATTTAGTGTTAATGAATTTGGAAATAATGTTTACATTCTGCCGCGTCAAACTTCGCGCGTAACATTGCACAATAACCAAAAATCAAGAAACGGGCTTGTAATTCTTTTCGATTTACATAATTTGTAACCGTTTCCAAGGAAATATGACGCGTTCCTTGTAACAAAGAGCGATAAAAAATATCATTCATGGAAGGGAACACGTAAAATAATTGCGGAACGTTGTCGATGATCGTTAATATCTCTTGAGAAGAAAATACGAATTACCGTGTACGATTACAAGTTTATTATGCGGAGCTACGTAAGTATAATAACACTTCGTAGCATCTTTTCCTTAATCATTGACAATTGCGTTGTTCCGTCCGTGTGAATCCGTTGCACTTCATTTTGTTGCCCAAGGCTGAAGCGAGTATCGTTGCCTTCCCCGGCGATGGAAGTGGATAGCAATAATTACCAAACCACTCGATACCGTTTGCCACGATCCATGACAGAAAATCGAAAGTTTACGAGGAACGATTCTGTAAGTGTTTCGCTTGATTCACCGTCGGATTCATTTGATTCATCGTCAGATTCATTTCTATGTAGACGCAAATCGGCCCAATGTTTATCTCCTGTTTGTTTGCAATTGTCAATTTGCTGTTGTACATCGCTCGCATGTATAACGACTGTGATTGCAAACAGTCGATTAAGGACGTCGGTGAGCTGAATGGTTACTATAAGTAGATCTCGCGTGTTCCGAAGAAGGAAAAATGACAAACATCTGTTGGGTGAAAGTATTCTTCTCGTTTGTATTAAATTTGTATATGGAAATGTTAATTATGCCGTCGTGAGTCAGTCGACTATACTTGAAGTCACTGAACTTCATGAAACTCTCATTGATTAGATCACCGCTAGAAAAGCGTGATTATGACGATTCAATGAAGATTTGATTACATTTATTTTCAAATTTAACATGTAAACCAAGATACTGGTTTTTTTTGTGGAGGGGAGTGGAATGCTAAAAGTATGTAATTAAATAATACATTGTTTGAAACATTATGCATATATTTATAACACTCTTATACATATATGTCAGAGTCGTTCTAAAAGTTTTGATTAAAGATTCTATGGTAATTTATTTTTCACCAAGGAAGAAGGGATTTTAAACCCATTTTTTGTTTTCACTTTTTTTTCACGATAACTATAGCGAACGAACGAACTATAGCGTTTTAAAACTCAATTTACACATGGAACAGGATGATCTCTTGTTACGACCCTTCGCAATCTTTTCCAGCTTGGACTTGGTGGATTCTACGTCGTTATCACCACTGTCATAAGCGATCACTTTGAGTAGACTCGTTTCGCCATTCTTTTCGATTTTCTCCACGTTGAAACCGTCTATGATTTCTAGACCGAACGCCAAGTCGTCGAGATCCACCGGGTCGTCGGTTTCCTCGTCGCTGTCGTCGAGCTCGATGACCACGAACGTGGTGGCCTTTGAGCCTGTTCGAGGTTCATTTTATAATAACAAGAAAACAACTTCCTCTTTAAAATAAAATGAAATGAAATTCATGCAGGGAATCAATTCGATATTAAATATCTATTAGACAGTATATCCAAAGTTTATTATACATATACAATTCACTGTTCGTATCAATTCTTTCTTAATAATTAATGTTGCATAACTCTCGATTTTCTTTTTTTCTCTGGGCTTACTACAACTGGCAATGGCAACCGAAGGCTAACGATGCCAACTGCATAATTCATGTTTAGTCACCTGTCAATCTTGGTACTTTCTCGATCAGATCGGTATCGAGATTGCCTTCCGAAGACTCGTCACTGGAATTTTTCGAACCATAGACATTTACCACGTAGAATACTAACTCGCTATCGTTAGGTTTCGGGGGAGGCTGCAGGTCAGTCGCCAAGGTAACGTCGTCGTCAATTATGGGATCAACTGCTAGATCTTCACTTGAATCTGAAAATTGCATCATATATGGATAAATTATTTTATATTTGTACGTAGACCGCTAATAGACATGAGGTTATATAAAAAGAAATCATTTGGTAGTTAATTAGTTAATGGAACAAATGAATGGTACAATCGGGAAACTATTTCCTCGAATTCAATTTTAATTCAATTTTAATACCTACCCGGAGTTGTATATGAATTCAACAAAGAGGATCGTTTTCATGAATTTTCCGTGGTACAAAATGAATTTATGAATTTATAAAAAGAAAGACAATAATGTGGAATATACTGAACGAGTTAATAGGACAAAAAAAAATGAAATGAAAGGTCAATAGTAAAGAATTATCCATTAAATATAAAATAATATGCAAATATTGTTCCACCTGGAGTCGGTAGAGCCGAAATGGCGACGATAAGTAGAAGACTGGACAGAACCTTCAGGTTCGACAACGTTTTGCTAGCCATTGTGATGAGCTTGGTGACACTTCGATTGCACTGTGCTTCGATCCATTGTGTCGTCGCTTTTATAGCCATCGATCTTTGCACACCTTCGATTCTAATGCCATTATGCAACATTGAGAGTAACGCAAATCCATCACTCTGCTATTTACCGTCGCGACGGATGTTTACCGTCGTCTCATCTTCGCATTTTTGGTATTCGTGTAAAAACGAAAAAAGAAAATTAACGAAATCTGAAATTCAACGATCTCGAAAGTGTCTCGCCAACCGATTCATCGTCAGATCCATTTTCATGTATCTGCAAACCGCAGCAATGTTTATCTCCTATTTGCTCGCGATGGGTAACTTGTTGTTGCATATCGTGCACAAATATGCTGATAATAATTGAAAAAAGTCGATTAAAGATGTCAACGAGTTAAACGAGTGGAGCAAGTAGTTTTTGTCGCGTGTTCTGAATAAGGAAAACAGGGAAACATCTGTTCAGTGAAAGTGTCTCGTTTTTCAAGATCAGAAGAAGTTTGTACTAATTTTATATAAGGCAACGTTAATTAACCACCGTGATTCATTTGAGAATAGTTGAAGCCGCTGAACTCGCGTTTTTTTTTTTTTGTTTTATAATTTAGAACTATAGAGATCGCGGTATATTTCATTCAATTTATCAAGTTAATTATCTTGAGATCATGTATTATATCAGCAAACGAGACGATGCTGGAAAATAAAGTCATTAGGCATAACAAGTGTAATTATCAATTTGTCCCGCGTATGCAATTGTTCGAATGAATGAATTTTATGTAACTAATAATTATCATTGTTAAATTTACAACCACCTCGATCGAGGAATGTTTCTTTGGACGAAACTTGTACTATTCAATTCAAAACAAAAATTGAAACACGACCAATGAGTTTCGGATTCTACATACGTTGCAGAATTATTAAATAAACCAAACCGAAACGATACTAAGCTGTTTCTTGTCCACGATGAATTATCGGTTTACCAACATCGGTGACAGTATTCTTGTTTACACGACGATGCAGAAATAGCCGTAACGAGAGACGCCAGGAGAATTGTTTCACGTACCTAAGTCTCGTCTTTATGACTCAATTCGATCTAGGCTGATAATTCATGGGCGATCTTAAGCAAAAAGGTGAGATCATTGCTTCGCGCGATGCGTATAAGTCTCCCAGCTATCCGACCAGTCACTACAGTCTTCTTTTCCTGTTGGCTGTTTCAGAATTTTAATCTATCACGACCTTGGCCTATCGAGGCAAATCCTATCTATGACTAGCGAGGAATTTGATAATCTACCAGTTGACAACACGTAAAAAATTTATTCAAATTCAACGTGATCAAACAAAAGTTTCCTAACATAAATATATCTTTATTTTTAAAGATTAGATTTAGGACAAAATTAAAGACAATCTTCTAAATACGAGTTGTTATCATTATGAATATTTAAAATGTTTCCCGAAACATCGTTCATCTTCTTTTGTTTGAGGATAATTGAACGAATCACGCTTCATTGATTTACATCGATTGCAAAAATTATGGAATATAATTTGTTTTTCTGATGGTAATGACGTTTGTATTTTTCCACACATCCTATAAATTAACTACTATGAGTGTACACTATGAAAGAATACATGTAACGACGTATTGATCACAAGATTCCTTAAAAATATAGGACGTTTATTTAAATTAAAAAGTGATCACATGTTTCGTGATTGTTTAATTGTGATCCTAATTATAGTTATATCAAATATCTTAGACATCCTAGGTATTCTAATTATGATTATGTAATATCGAATAAATCCTTAAAAATCTTGTGTTTGATTAAAATTCGACCGCAAAGAACCAATGTAGAATGTAAAATGAATAGAATAATTTCTGATCATTTTAATGGTGGGATCTTGCTCTGACTAGTTGTTAATTTCCAAGTTATCCAGCAAAATAATACCTGCGCGAGATAATTGAGGAGATCTCGAACTTTGGGGTTTCCCGTATCTGCAATTTGATCAGATTATTTACGTGTCTGAATGCAGCTAGTCCACGCTTACACGGATTACTCAGAATTTCCAACTTCTCATTTCCGGTAGGTGAAATATACCCTACAAGCCAATGACCAACATGATTCATTTCCATTGTTTCTTTCGGGATAATTAATCCAGCCAAAATCTATTCTCAAGATACATTCATTCTTAAAAAAGAAAATCCGATGTTGCAAGTCTTCGCATCATATCAATATTTTATTCTGAAGTTGAGATCTATGTACAAAACCCGTTTTCTAGCTACACGTTTGTTATAAATTAAATGACGGAAATCCCTATCGAAGAGTTCATTAAACATTTTTTTTTTCTGCATCGTTCAATTTCAGCTCAACGGTTCCCGTTGCTGATAGGTGTTAATTGGCCCCAGGTATACTTTTTTGCGAGTTTCGCTGACAAAGAATAATCCGTGTGTCACTGTCACGTCCTTGAATCCGACTGGTGAACGTATACCTCCCGATTCTCAGGTTTCCGTGTTATACGAGCATCGCAATCTCACGCGAACGGTTTCCCTACCAATCGACTGGGATTTTTAAAAGTCTTAGAACATAGACGGCCATAAGTAAATAAATTAATTAATGTGACCATTTGGAGTCCATCGATAACATACACGTGGTTGTGGATGGTAGGGTAATAATTTAATGACTTTTGCAAAGGTTTTTCACAGAACAATTAGTCATGGTAAATGAAAAAAAAAAAAACTTTAAATTACTTTAGTTTCTTGTAAATCTAATATTGGAGAAAACAAAAGTGGCTCTTTTTCAGCGATAAGTTTATCTTTGAGACTACGTTGCATACTTGCAAACAATAATTATACTTGTGAGAATGTGCCTAGCGTAGCGGAAATAATGAGAAACACAATCGTTTTACACGCCATACATCAGGATGGTATGCAAGTTCTCAGGAGCTGTAGCGGTGTTTTTTGAAGCTACGGTACGGACTTAGCAACCCCGAGGTACCCGAGCTAGAGGGTACCCAATAGATGAGAAGTAAGAGATACTGCAAACAGTATTAAAACAATGCAGGAGTCATGTATGACGCATGTCGAATGAAGAAATATGGAAATGTAAACAAATAGAGAAAGTGGTAGTGAAGTAGCTTTGTCAATTGTAAAAAGCTGATCACTTCAATAAACGACTGAACCGAACTGATGGTATTCAAGTTCCAATGGAAAATGAACCACGATGGAATAGCAGGTACCATACGTAGATAAAGTCATCGGTCGTCGATAAAGCAGGATTGTACTGTCCGGTTCATATAAAAGCTCCACAATTCCTCTGGAGATGTCGTAGCGAGTTTAATTCGTACTCCAATATAAACATTGGACTGGTCCAACGAATTACAAATAAAAGCTAACAGAAGCTCAACTAAAAATAAAATTAAAACAATAGGAATTAACCTGTTGCAAAATCATATAGAACTTTTTCAATTATTTTTACTGTCCAATATTGTTTCATAAATGTACATCGTCGTAGTACGACCTATAAGTAGGGTGCCATTTTTGTATACGAATTGTTGGCCTCCTATCGTTTCCCCGCCGTGTTTGCTGCGTCGAAATTTGAAGAATTGGCTCGAAGTTCTGCTCTCGTTGCGGTTCTACGTTGATGTTCAACTTTGGGGCACGCGTACCTTGCGGACCTACAAAATTTTATGAATTTTTATTAAAAAAGAATCACTGAAAGGTTCGATTCAGTGAGATCATTGAAAAGAATTAAATTCTGAATGAATTAAAATAAACGTTTCAAAAGTTTGTCATATATAAACATCAGGCCACGGATATTTTGGTTTTCAACATGGCGTCTAGTGAAGATGATCATGCAGTACAATGAAAATACGAAGTTCGTGGATTCTACCGTTATTATTATAATTTGGACGAATGTTGGTCCAAATGGGTTGCCTTTGGCCTTCCGGAAACCGGATATGCATTCCTTCGGAGACTAAAATGGTTCCTGCGCCCGACGAGGCGGAAGAGTGCACGGAACCAACGGAAGAAGAGGCAACAGATGCTGCGTGACCATTTTGGACGGTTCCAGACGAAGAGGCAGCTGCGCTACCAAAACCGAACGATTGACCGTTTACGTGTCCTTGATTGCCAAGAACAGGACGATGTTGGCCCATTGCCTGGCTCACAGCGCCAGCAACACCTGACGATCCAGCGACGAACGACAGCGATTGACTTTGCGAAACGGCCCTGAAAAAATAATAATTTTGTTAGTTACAATCACTTTAGAAGGAACAGTCTATCATTTTAATTTACAAATCAGTTATTTCATGTTTTCGCGATAACGTTCCGACTTATGCTTAAAGGATTTTCAAAATTCGGAAATTGTTAACTTTACAGCTGTTTTGAGGAGATTGTTAATATCTGTCATTAAATTGTGATCATTGCAATTGTATCACTGTTATGGCTTTAACATTTAAGGTCATCCGATACACCGCGGATATCTGAATTCTTGTCAGGTATAATGTCATGGTGTTAACGGTATGGCATTCTTACTCGAACGATGTCCGTGGCCTTGACGTATCACAGGAAATCACTTTCAGTGTGGCTCGTTGTTCGTGAAACTCTGTTCTTTCGAACCAACTGACGTCTATTTCTATGTCGCGTAACTTCGACTAGAGAATTCGATTACTATTGGAGTACCTGACTATTCGAATACTATTCAAATGCTCGACTATTTCAATTCTATCGAAGTACTTGGCTATTTAAAAACTTGAATAATAAAATTATAATATTCTACGAATATTAGATTATCGGAATAGTCCTATTCTAGGCTCTGATGATAAAAACGTACTGTTGGTTGAAGCTGCTGCTCTCAGAGTATCCGAAGCCTTCAGGGCCCACTTGAAATCCCAAAGAGTGCGCATTGCTTCCCGCGTTCACGTTGATGTTCGCTGTGATCGGAATAGACAATAATCGTGCGTTCTTCATGTCGGATTTCTTGACGACCTGCTCTGGAATGAGCTCCGGCGGCGTGTTCCATCGTCGTTCATCTTCTTCTGCGGGAAGAGCGCGACCATCTACGGAATGAGACAAGTTTCCCCATGACACATCTAGAGCAGAGTCTTCCTCGCATATTACGGTTAGTTCTCCCTTTAAAGGGAACGTCATCGAAATTAAATATGACGATACACTATTTTTGTTAACAAACGTTTCAAAAATTTATTGTCCATAAATTCCAGGCTTACAGACTTTTCATTTTCCGACACGGAACATTTAATTTTGAATTTTTATTAACTGGTTCGAAGCCAAATCTCCCTTGAGACAATCACTGTGCACTTTCCATTACAGAACGTAGCGTCTTACGAAGTCACACGAATAACGAGGCGGAAATTTAGCGAACGAGGTTGCAACACGTATTTTTAGATTGTTTAAGTGATAATTTTTACCTGCCCACGCGACTAACGACGCGAAACACAATGGTACGATGCAAAGGCTGCTCCTGGCCATGTCTAACAGCGTTCTGACTCCTGCGTGCCAACTCTCCGCCCTTTTTTAATAAGTACGAATGACCTTAAAGTCCTTATTGGTATTCAACGCGTGTCCATCCACGTAATACTCTTCGACGAACGGAGTTACAATCACTCGATGACTCTTGCTCGCAGAAAAAGAAAAGAAATGTGTTTTTCGGTGAACAGAGTCGATTCGATTTCATGCAGTTTTGGATTCGTAAATAATAGTAATAATAATAATAACGGAAATCTATGGGTAAAAAGGATACTTGCAGAAAAATACAAATAGTTTTTGTAAGAATCGGAAATTTTTAAATAACGTTACAATAGTTACAATAGTCATTTTATCGAACAATTATCTAAATAGTCAAGTATTCAAATACTACTGCGATATTGTAGTATTCGAACAGTCAGTTCTCGAATAGTACTCGAGTATCATCCATCCATCCAAGTGTTTCAAGCATTCAAGTCTAGAAAAATCCAACGAACAGTCCCCGAATTATAGTGTTCGCACAATTCTCAATAGTCCACGACACTAACGCCATCATCCACACTTCCTGCGAAATCGACGACGGAAGCAGCCCCACCAATGGTATCAATCGCTTCCTCAGGTTGATCGAAAACGATATCACTCCCCACGTCAGCCACGATTCCGGGACCTTCCAGCTCTGCGTTCAGCTCCATCACATAATCGACCCGCGGTTCCGCCGGCTCTTCCATTCCAACCGAGGCTTCCACTCGTCCAGGCTTCATCGTCGACCCAGCCTTTTCACCGTCCTCTAGCATCGTTTTATCCACCTCGTCCCCATTCACCAACGCGACCGCCTCTGTATCGTCGTTTCGCGTCGGTGGCACCATTTCGTTTACTTTCGACGGTAGCGTGGTCCCTTTATCAACGTTCGTTGCAACCACGCCTGCACTGTCGCCATTCGTTCCCTCGGGAACGCTTTGTGATTGTTCTTTCTTCGTATTTTCAGTTATGTTCCCCTTTTCAACCTCCCCTACGTTACTGCCTAACGGTTTCTCCCCATCCTTTGGATTTTCGGGCCTTCTCTGGATCTCCTCGTCGCTGACTAAAGAAATCAAGGGAATTTCTTTTATACTCCCATCCAGTGGTTTCTTCATTTCGTTTTCTGCATTTTGAGGCCCTGTTGGGGTCACCTCATCGTTGATTACTGGATTCAAGGGAATTTCGTTTGTACTGCCATCCAGTGGTTTCTTCATTTCGTTTTCTGCATTTTGAGGCCTTGTTGGGGTCACCTCATCGTTGATTACTGGATTCAAGGGAATTTCGTTTGTACTGCCATCCAGTGGTTTCTTCATTTCGGTTTCTGCATTTTGAGGCTTTTTTGGTATCACCTCATCGTTGATTGCTGGCATTAAGGGAGCATTTCCTGTGTTGCTGTCTAATGGCTTCTCCTTTCCTATCTCAACATTTTGAGGCCTTTCTTCAGTCTTCTCGTTGCTGACTTCTTGGGCCAACGCAGCGTTGCAGGATGCCTTCTTAGTTTCTGTTGGAACAATCGTTTTTGTTTAGAATATTCTTATTAGAAGACCGTTCGTTATAGCAATCAGTGACGTTACCTTCCATGAGTTGTTTGAATGATTCAGTAAGTTCCCTGTAGGACGTCTCCAGTGCTACGATTCTCCTCTTCAAGAAGGCCATGTCGTAGTCGTAGTCGTCCTCGTCTTTGAACGAACTCGAGAACGACGAAAATGATGGCACCCACCAGGACGGATAAAACTGTGACCAATCCTTCGGATGTGACTCCAATGTCCTTGGACCTCGACGAGTTTGAATATCGACCGAGTTATCGTCCTTCCAGAGTGGGTTACTTGAAACAGGCACAGCTGTGCACCAATAAGGAATTTAATCAGACGAACAAGATATATTTTCATAAATCCTTTAACTAGAAACTTTGTGTATTTTTTGATTTGTAAAGAAATTTTAATGCCGTGGCTCCTTAAGTGGTATGACATGGATGGTCCCAGTTTTGAAGAGGATTGTACTTTCAACGCTGTACCCTATGATTCGTGGCTGGCAATTAGCGTTGAGTCATTCACGGATACGAACTTCCTTAAAATATTTTTTGTCCCGACCTCTTAACGCCAACGACGCGCTAATGACCGATCTTAACGTAGCGATGACTCCAATTAAATCCAAAATTCCGCTCGTCGAATTGTACGTGATTGTTGGTTGAAATCAGTGACGGACTATAATTCTATAGGAACGAAACCAAAATGGAGTTTAAACAGAACACGAACAAAAAAAAAATAACAAAGAAATTACATAAGGAAAGAGGAACTCTTCTACTCCAAAACAATAATCTGAAAACTATTTTTGACAAATTGGATTGGATTGCTATTATATATTAACCGTCGTGAAGAAATCGACTTTTATGACTAATCACTGAGCAACAATTCGCCAAAAATCAATTAAAAAAAAAAAAAACAATGTAATACGCCACTGGCGACAGATGTGACCCGAGGCCTGTCAAAGTTACACGTGCGTCATTAAATATCCACGAACTGTCGGTCGAGCAGACATATCGCGGCACTTAATCATTGGAATATACGATCGATCATAACATAATCGATTTTACATTTACTTATTAGGTGATGTAAACGTGTTTCTTGGTTTTTAGCCAGCCACGCGAATGATTCATGGGTGCCGTTCTTGAAAAACACGCGTTACTCATTGTTATCGGTTGCATCGTTGAATATTACGGTGTCAAACTATCCGACGGTTATAATTAGGTGTATTTTAATGTTCTTGGCACGTCGCGATACTTGTATCGTATAAAAATATAAATTAAAAGAAATTTGACGTACAATACGCACCCCGAAATCGATATTACAATTGAATCTACTAAGAATAAATGGAAGACGGGTTTAATATTAAGAAAATTACCTTCAACATAGCCCTGTAGCGCGATAAAAACCAATAGAAGAACTGTCACTCTCGGCATGATGAATTCGAAGTCTTTCCGTTCCTCGTCGCATAACAACCAAACCCTTACTGAAGCTTCTACCCTCTAAATGACCAATTTATATACCTTTGCAACACCATGGTTCCAATAACGTCGAACCCATTAGGAGCCCAGGTAACGAGGATTTCTGACTGGCCGTTATCTATTCGAGAACATACCTGGTGGGCATTGTTTTCCCTCGTGGTTCCGCGGTGTCGTAAAAGTCTCCAGACGACCGTAGGAACCTAGTCCCGTATATCTAACTTACTTAGGCTAACTGTCCTGAAACGCAGTATCGGTCAGAGATGGGAAAAACCCTAGACTTCGATTAAATCTGAAGTTTATCGATTGTCATGCCCGGACAACTGCAACGTCATCCTGAAATACTGTTTTTTTTTTGTTTTTTTTTTTTTTTTTTTTTTTTTGTTCAAGGTTAATTATCCGTAAAATTTGTGTAATTAAATTTGTATATCACGGTACGTCCTAGCTTTCAACGCTTGCATATTAAGGTCCATTAAAGATAAGGTCATAATTATGCCCTGGCATACATGGCAGCTTTCACCAGACCTGCAAACGCAGCTCGTCCTTCAAACGGAAATTTCTTCGTGTCGTGAATTTTGTTGAATGCATTCAATGTTTTAGTTTCGTGCGCACTTGCACTTCGAGCGCACCGTTGCACTTGCAACAACATTTATGTCATAGTAGATTATATAGATGACGTTGAACAGTTTTTCGGTATCAATCAACAGAGAAATATTGCGCGATCGTATCGCGTGACTCACTATCGATGCTAATCATAGAAAATATTTTGTATGAGAATGTTTGAATAACGACACTCGAAGGAAAATATTTGGATAGCGACATTCGAGTGGGAATATTAGATTAGTACATTTCGAGTAAGAGTATCAGAGTAGCAGTATTCGAATTTAATATGCGAATTTAATATTCAAGTAGCAACGCACATAAATACAATGTATTTAAACTGTACTCGAACAGCCCCAGATCCAATTTCGATCGGAGTTCATCTAACGATGCTCCAGCGATAAAAAGTCTGCCGATCCCACCACGAAGGTGAGCGCATCGTTGTAGGCGGCGTTAAAGAAAGAGCACACGTAGACGTGGCGTCGCGATTCACGTACCTAGGCCACAGGTAGGTTACCCTACTTGACATTGAACCCGAGAGGCAGATGTACCTCGTATACAATGGACGCCTCCGAGGAATGGAACGAGCGGCCGTCCAACGCCACCGGGAATTAATACGCAGAAGGTAATCAACTTTCGCGATTGGGTATTCCCCAGCAGCGTCATTCGGCCGTTTAGAGGCAACAAATCTATCTAGCACCAGCTCGACCAAGGATTTACGTAAACCGTATGTTTTGATTCGAGCTGCTGCGAATCGAACTGCTTACTCGAAATTAATGGAACTGCAACCATTTCAATGTTCCCAGAGGAAAATGTTTACCAATGTCGAACACGTTTATGGCATTTAAAAAAAAAAATGAGAAAGTTTATCAGAGATAAAGTCGTTCCAATATCAGTTCAAAAATATTTCTGTACAATATCCCAAAGTGTAATAAAATGAAACAGTTGGATTTGATTCGAGTAAATTTCTGTGTATATGTGCATTTCCCGATATACATTCCTTCAATTTCAATGAATGTTTATTTTCACGGAAATTGTGCAACAATATTTCGTTCCATTAACGATTCTGCGAACGTGAATGCAAAAGGTATCAATTTGTTACTTGCTACCCAATAATTAATCGTTTCATCGATCGAATCGTTCGAGTGATTCCTGCTCGTCTTGGTTTTTCGATGAAGAAAAAGGAAGACGAACAGACACAATCTATCCTTGATCGATAGCCACTCGAAGCAGGATGTGGGAACAATTACGTTTCGAAGCACCGATTATTATTTATCCCAGAAGCGCGGCTCCGCGCCGGTAACAACGAATACAAAATTAATTCATACTTCGTAACATTTGAATAATTTATTCTGCGTCTCCAGAAAGAGATTTACGAAAAGTGTGAAAGCGTAAACGACGTTTCTCTTATTTTATATAATTGAAAATAGAAACTAGAAGTTTCCGGTCCAAAAAATCAACCGTTAATTTATTTAAAACGTTTCGACTATTACATCTTGTCCCACGAAAGAGGAAAAAGACATGGAAATGAGTTTGTTTACGTTTTATTTTGTATTCGGCCTCCAACCGTGTTCATCTGGGAGAGATTTTGAATGGTTTTGTCATTGGCATGCCACCAAATAAAAGGAACCAGGAAAAGAGACGACTGAACTTCTGGTTGGACCGAATGATGCCTTAATGGCGTCGAATACGGTGACGCAAGCAATGATTTATATTCCCAAGAGGACTAAACGGGACTCTTGATTGACTGACATTTTTATGCGTCTGTCATTTCGCGAATCTAACTTTTTGAATAATATTTATAAAACGTATTGTTACGCAACCAGCCATGTTGAATTATAAAAAGATTCATAATTTGTTTGGTAATTGCGAAGACCTCGATTAATGGAGGATTTTTCATCCCCGATTCCTGCAATAATCAAGGTTTTACTGTAGATAGAATTTAAAACCTGAAGACAGAAAGGTAAATAATACTACCTCGCTATAATTAAGGGACGTGTATTTACGTAATTTGGAACAAACAGAAACTGAAAGATTTTTAAACTTAATTGATAACAAAACAATTGAATAATTATAAATTTTCCCCTACTATTCGTTTATATTTTTTCTCCTTAATATCGCGAGGTTATCGTGACAACGATGCGAGAATTGCACTAAATACAACGATAAGAATGAGAACTTCTAGCTCATAAGACGTAACGATAGCAAGGTTATTAGATCATTGTGCAAAGTCAATGCGAATCGCTGATCTTGCACCAAATTCGTTAGAAACGATTCGAAATTTATAAATTTTAAATCGAACTAATTTATTTAGGTTGCATGTAAAGTTGGTATTAATTCTTAGCAGTCCTTTGTAGAAATAGATAAAAAACTGAGTGAACAAGTATTTTAAGAAAAAGTATTAAATAGTAACATATTAATATAGATTGAAGAAGTACCTGAAAAATCTCACCTTCATAAATTGTTCAAAAATTGTCATGAAATTAAGAAACGTATAAACGGAATTCAAAGTATGTACACTAGTTGTGCACAAAAAAAAAAAACATTTACACAATTATTTATTCAACAGTGAGCTCGATTTCCTTGTGTCTCTCGTGTATTGGAAACGCAAACGAAAAAAAACGCAAGTATGCACGGTAAACACGTCTTCAATGGGAATTTAACAACTCTTTCATTCGGATAATTTTCTAGTGAGCATGTGTTCACTGCGCGTAACGGTTTTTTCCTTTTGGTTTTCTAATGGGCAAGAGGAAGTGGGAAATACTTGGTTTAATTTGTACTTCTGCGCTATTCAGTCGCACGACTACTTGTTGACAATCTATAAATATTAATATTAAATTAACCTTTATAAAAATTCATGAATATATATATGTTGTATTAATTGGCAAACAATGTCCTGCACACATCTAACATACATCTTACATACTCACACACGGAAAATAAATTCCACGAATACATAAAATCCGCACTTCAATCAGCAGTTTGTCGTACAAGGTTAATTTAAATCAGTGTTTTTGTTTGGACTGATTCAGCGAGTGTAAAGAGTCAAGTAGATCAGATCAATACGATCCAATCGCATGACTGCGCGAAGTGTCCGATCGATCTTTCGATGGAAACAATTGTAGCAAATCACGAACAAGCTACACCAAAATTAAATTACAAGAACATACAGATGAAATAGCAATTATAATCGACAAGTGTCTCATTAACATCCATCGAACTTGCTGATCGGATAACCGAAGCTACCTGTAGGCTGGTATTATAATATGACTGCGAGAACGAAGACAACCGATCGAATAGATAATTAATATGACATCAGTGTTCCGTTTAAAAATTAGTTCAAGAAAATTAGCTTCTTTGACAGTTTGTTCTTCGAACTGGTTCTCAGAATTTTTTTATAACCTAATGGGGGACCTATTAACCTCAATTTTTTTTAAATGATCAATTTTTCACTTTTGTTATTACGTTTACGTTTAAAAAGTTCTGTGGAAATAATTATTCCCTCGCACAGAAAATGTTATAGACGTAGAACGTTTCGTTAAATAAATTTTAGAAAGAAACGATACAAACACCGAGTTAACATTTCCTGAATATTATTGAAATTAAACAATTTGACTTCCGAGAGACTCGTACCTTACGCATGAAGAAGGTACATTAAAATTCAATCTTACTCATTCGAAACAGAAAACAAAAATTACGATCCGACCCAAGAGCAGCTGTCCAAAGACCTCTAAGTGGCACGAGCAATTACCTGAACCAGACCATGCCCTGGAGGCGTACTTGAAATGCATAGGGCCCAAAGTATTATGAATAATAATAAGAAAGAGGATCGTCCACAGATCGCGAAACAAATTGCAAAATAGGCTTTTCGATTTCACGTCGGCGTGCAAGTTTTCGCACGTGGAAAGTACGGAAGCGAACAGAGGTGAGGAAGCAGCGACGAGCCAAGACTATATAAGATGACGGAGACGGCGATTGAGTCAGTCATTCTCGTGCAAACTCCACCAACGACAAGATCATTCGTGAGTTCGGTAGTGATAATCAACATCGTACACGTCCACTCTTGATTATTAATTATCGATTATTAATTGTCAACCATTAATCAAGTTCACATGGATATAAAGATCGTGACACTGCTGGTGCTATTAGGCATCGTAGGATCTTTGGCGGAACCACTTCACAGGATGCGCAGAAGTGAGTACTCGGTCGAGTAAACACACCGAACACACGGCTGCGTAGTAGCGTTATAACTATCACGGATACGCCGGAGTCTCTATTAGCACGCGAATATGCACGAATTTGTTGCACTTGAACGATGCACTCTTCTTTTTGTGTGGGGGATTTAGCACTCGCCGATTTTTTTTATTCGATTATTCGCACGCTTCCGTGATTCGATTCGGTGAACGTGGGTAATTCGAACACTATTCGAACATGTACTTGATTGGTCGGATGCTACTTGAGTGCGGAGTTGATTATTCGAATATGTACTTGACTGTTTGGACATTACTCAAATGTGGAATTGATGACTTGAATAATATTCGAATGTGTACTTGATTATTCGAATACTACTCGATGATGAAGTTGATTACTAGAATACTATTTGAATGTTTACTTGACTGACCGGATATTCTATGCCTACTACTTAATTACTACTCGAGTACTACTTGAATACGTATCTGACTGTCTAAAGACTCGACAATAAAGTTTACTATTTGAATATCATTCGAAAGTATACTTCACTGTTTGAATACCAGTCGAGTGTACATTTTATTACTCAAATACTATTCGAAGGTCCACTTGGCTGTTTGAATACTATTTGACTTACTCCTCGATCCCGAATCGTTTTAAATATAATCCTGACGCCACACTTTGTAAGTTTCCGGGCTATTGTTTGCAATTGCACTCCCTCGTTTAACACGTTTCGCCGTGCTCTCTGTATACGCATACAGTTCGTAGAATCGCTCGACGGTTTCGAAGGTGTCGTCGAATATCTGAAAAAGAATCGTCTCCCGTTGCGTAAGTCGAGGAAAATAAAAATCGAATCCGACAATAAGTTGCGCAACGTTTCGCGTCGTAGATTTGAACCGGACTCGCAACGGGATTCAGAAATTTCCGAATAATTGCGAAACGTTGACAGAGAAATGTTAATAAATTTTCGACCGATTGTGCCGTTGTGGCTTCGCGCTCGTTGGACGATAAAATCAGCCATTTCCAGGAACGTGTGCGTTTCGGAAACGGTATTTGTACGTATAACACGCCTATGGGTGCGCGATGTACGAGCGGCAAATCAATAATCGATAATATCGCGCGTTTAAACATTAACCGTCACTCCTACAGTGCACTCACGTCTGTGTATGTAAACTTTATGCATGTGGTCACGCATGTAGCGATGATAATTCGTCGCGCCGCTTCCGAACCTTGACCTTATTTCGTTTCTACCTTAACCTCTAACAAGATACTTTCTTTCCACTTGCTTGGCTTTTATCTCGCGCTTCATGCTCCGCGACAAAAAGGAAGGACTTTAATTCTCTTGATAATTCCATAGTCTTCCAAGCAGTATATACTGATTTGAATATAAACTAATTTAAAAATTGAATTACTCAGACGCAGTAACGGTTACGGGTCACGGTATTTGAGAGAGATTAATTTGTTCAAAAAATGTTCAACGCGCGTTTGCATTTAATTTATAAAGTATTTCAAAGATAGTCATAATTAAAATTCGAAACTATCTACTTTCGTTCGTTTTAAACGAAATAATTTCACTCTGTAGAACCTAAATGGGATGGTCTTTGCTTGCTACGCTGTCGCAGTTGACGGAAGAAAAAATTCAGCTATAGACTCGTCGACCTTCGGGTGACTTCACATATTTCTGTATTTCAGGTTTCAGTCTCTGAGATAAGCATGAACCATTTGGAGACACCTTTTAGTATCCACTCGACATGATTTTATAAGAGATATTTCTCTGGTGTCGTTATACTTGTCTGATTTGTTGTTCCGATGGATCGAGGTTGAATTTAATGATGTTTTTCACTCGTTATTTTTTTCTTCAAACGGAAAATACAATGTTGCAACGTTGCTGAAATATTCTTGTAATATTGGCAATATTCCTGCAACGTTACAATAGTGCGTTCCAATTATTTGATTATAATGAAACCAGAAGAAAGCCAATTAAAAATTCTTTATTCATAAATATCACGAGTCCCGCGTGTAGTAATCGAGGTATACATCGTTGGGTTCCCCGAACGAACAATTCGGAAGTTCTCGGTCGGATCTGTGAAATTATCACCCGAAGCATTTCCTGCATGTTTGTGTTGTGCTCGTCAGCCGTGTACATCCTGTCGGCTGCAGACAAAGTAACAAATTGCTACGCGGTTCGAGCAACCCGCCGGATCGAACCTTCCCAACGGAAAGGAAAACACGAATGCATGTTAACACCTGTGTACGTCGAAATTACTATCTTACACCACGCATGAGACTGGGGCGAGGGAACTGCCTCAGCCGGAGGCACTCGCAAACCAGCTAGAAAAGCATGCTCCACCCAGTAACAAACCGTCTCTAGCACGCATGGACCGCAAGTAGCTAGCGCCACGTTTCCCCTGGGAACAGTTAACGCCACGAACGTTGGTATTTTGTTTCTTTTCATCGGCGAAGATGGATTGCAAGAAAGCGATAAACCACGCGGCATGGAATTCGTCGGAATGCCGAGAGCGAAACGGGAGTCCGTCGATTCGAGCACTACCGAAAACACCGCTACACCCACGTCCACCGCAGATCCCTCCACTACACGCGGCACAAGTCCTACCACCACGAACAAACCAGATCCATCAACCGAGACCGCTCCCACGCCTGGATCGCGTTCGACGACAATCAAACCGAGTCCGACACCTGATCCCGCGACGACGGAGCCGCCATCTACGACTGCCAAGCCTGCTTCCACTACCCCGGAGAAGGACACGACCACGAAGAAGCCAACGAATCCTGGAAAATCAACCAAACCGTCGCCAGCCATCGGCTCTCGCATCGATCCGTCCGAGGAACAGCCTCAGCAGCCCGAAACGAAGCCCAACCCAGAGGCTGCCGCGACACCAAGCCAGGCTGGGGGAAATCCCGCATTTCCCTCGTACTCACCCTTCCCAAACCCCGCGTTCTTCATGCCAAGCTTTATCCCGGACTACTCTGCGCCTTACACCCCCTACGGTGATCCTACTTTCAACTCTATACCAGGTGCTAACAACAACAACCTCGCGTGGACGTCGACCAGCAACGGAGGCGGCGCGTCGTCGTCGTTCGCAGGAGCGTCGGCTGGCTCCTTCGGCTACGGGCAACCGTCGGTTGGAAGCCGTGGATCGTTCGTCGACGACGGAGGCCAAGCGCCCGGTTATCCAAACTCCTACCCTGACTGGGGAAGCAGCGGAGGTAATATCCATCGAGCTGGCGAACTTGAACTCGACGGTCGCGTCCTGGAGATTATGGGACGAATTATGCATGCATGCGCTGTACCGAGCTGCGTTTTAGGGGTGTATTGGCGTTGAGGGGAGGAAGATGTAGATCATCCTTTTCGTGGGAATAAGATTTATCGAGATTTCGCTCCGAGTAGTTGTGATTTGTTTCGAATCAGAACTTGGGAACGTATGTGTGTTTCTAGAAATCGCAGAAAGGTTTCTGGGGACATGGATATGTCTATAGGTTGTGCTTGTTGGTCTGCTTTGAAAGTGATCGCTGGTAGTTTCGCCAAACAGAGAATTTCAAACAATGGAAAACGAATTTACTGGAGTATACAAAAATTGGTTTTTATTATTTCTTAAAGATACGAAAAATTTTCTTGCGATATTTTAATTACCTTCCGCACACTTCACGCGCGTAGGTCTAGGAAAGCAGATGCACACAATTTTTCACGATGATTTGTGTGCCTACACGCTTGCAGATTTTCGAAATATTCGTGACAATATTTCGTTTTCTACTATTTACAGCCCTGCCATTTTCCAACTTCGCGTTCCCCGGTAATTTCGAAAATCAAATGCAGGACCATTTCAAACGACTCCAAGATCAATTCCAACAACAACAGGAATTTTTCCGCAAACAACAGGCTCAAATTCAAGCACAGAACGAAGCGTACGTACAAAACCTTGGATAGATGTATTTTTAATTCTTTTTTTCTTTTAATAGAATATCGTTAGTGCTTTTAACTGAAAAAGGGCTGCAAGCAACTTGACCATACCTCGCTTAAAAATAGTCCCCAGTTACGTGAAATCAATTTTTCATCGATACATAGTTAATGCATAAATTGTCCTGCATAAGTATTTTGAATAAATATTGCGCAGAACAAATAATGATTTCTTTGATGAAAATTATGATAGTATATATAGGATGTTCCAAGAGACAGCTAATCGGATCAACAGCGCTCCGGACGCACACAGTGCAGTTTCTGGGATCAGTTTAGGACCACGTGGTGGCTTCCAGTATGGGGCCGTCAATCCGGTAAGTTCTGATGGTACACAGTGTACCTAACTTCAAAATCAAAGAGTGAAGTTATATTTTGCATTTATCGAAAGATACATATTTCAAGAATGTTATGTCAAACTTTGAGATGAGAGACTCGCTAAGTTGTTCAGAAAATCTAAATAAAAATTATTTTGATTCTTAAGGTAGCTTGTCCCCTTAATTGTTTAACATCAAACACCATGAATGTATTACATTTTTATACCACTTATCCTCTAACGATTATATTTTTGCCATGTTTTATTCATAACTTTGCAGGCAGTTCCCGGTGTAGAGTCGAGATTCGCCGAGGAGATTCCAGCCCCGTCTGGAGGCAGAGTCGCAGTGTTCTCCAGTTCCAGTTCCAATAGCATGACTGGCCCTGATGGCAAAACAATTTCCCACAGGACATCGACGACCGGTGTCGACGACAACGGAAAAGTCAAGTTCCGCACCATCACAAACTAAAAGGTTTCACCATCGATGGGAGCTATACCTATAACAACGGCTGCGACCAAGCGTCGCGTTTCTTCTCCTTATTTTCTTTTTCCTTTTTACACCAAGATCATCTGTAACTCAGGTTTATAGACAATATTCTTAATCCTTTACTTATGAAATATACTTACCCAAATGCCATAGAAATACTCGATGTATTTAATAAGAACGATTCAGCTCGCCATCTACGTAAGAAGAATCGTTGCGTACCTCGATAACTGAAAGAACTATCGCCATCGGTTAAGTGACCGTTAGATTATCTCAAATTTGAATCGTAAATTCTATCGATTTATCTGGCTAATTTAATATTGGGATCGTACAATTCTTCGCGTTTTCCTTTGAAATATCCTTCTTGTGAAACGAAAATGAAATATACGATTGTTCGATAATGCTTGTATATTTATTGAACTCTATAACAAATAATTGAAACAGAATGGATAAAACGCGAATCGATGCCTTTCATTCGTCGCTGCCTTGGGTCTTGCTAAGCGGCGGTTCGATTTTATCGTCCACGACCGGTTTACCGAACGACCGTCCGCCATAGCTTGGGAATCGTCTGCTCGCGGATTCCCCCGGATGATGAGAGCGCCAGACAATTTGAGGCCTTTGGAAATTCCTTGGACCCTGATACCAAGGTTCACCGCCATGATAACGAGTTTGAATCTGCAACGCGTTTTGGTCAATTTAAACTCATCAAGTCCACTTTCTTGGTTACGAGCGTCGACACGAATTGCAGGCGACACCGCTTTCAAGTGACTTAAATATAGTTTAAATTTTGCAAATGATTTAATAAAGAATAGAGTTTAATATCAGATGGATAATAATTAAAAGATATTTAATTAGAAACGGTAATGTTTACCTGTGGAACATTGTCGTATCTATGGGTTGGCGAATGAAAAGAGTTCGAAGGGCGAAAACCAGAATTAAAATGTGGAGAATGCACGCCATGGATCCCATCGATTACTGGAATGTCGTTGATCTTAGGATCGGGCTCGACTTTCGTTATTATCCTGAGATGCACGTCCGTTACGATGTTCCCATCTTTATCTCGGTTGGACGACACGGACACCTTGCAAACGCCACTTCGGCACTCGTCGACGTTCGATCCCACTGCTTTTCCATTGACGACGATTTGAATGTTATCGAGAACGTCTGGTCGTTTCGTTGAATCGTCCTAAAAAAAATTGTATTCGTTACAATATTAAATGCAGTAAAGCGTAATAAGTATATTAAAACGAGAATAATATAACGTAATGAAGTTATAAACGAAGTTACAAATATTACATAATAACATATACCAAACGATTTGCTTTTTTGTATAAAATCACAGATAATTCATTCCAATTTATTTACTATATCCACAAGGATATATTTTCAGTCGGAAGAAAATTACTCACTCGTATAGAATCATACTTCGGTTTCCTCGACTCGTCAGGTTTACGAAAATCATTATCCCCTTCGTCGACTTCGTTTAGACCGACGACGGGCTTAGGATCGGAGTCGTTCGATCCACGGTCATCCTCTTGCGAGCGAAAATCGATCATCGAGGAAACTTCCGCGCTCGATGCATAATTTCCCGTTGCAAGTGTCACACAAAGAACGAGAACGATTCTTCCAGCACGATTCTCCATTGTTCAACTGGTATTGTCTTTTTTCGCCGAAGAACCTCGAGTGGACGGAAGACGCCATCGAGGAAGGGATAAGTATCCTAACAGGATGTCTATAGTATCGCGATGGTAATGATTGCTGGCGCACGCGTAACTAAATAACAGTGGCCTTTGCGATAAAAGACACGAAAATGTAAAAAAGAGGGGATTCGATGGGAAAATACCAGATTGGAGGCACCGATACCAATCGCTGGTCTTAATTGCTTCCTGAAGTCTCTTGGTGTCTCGAGTCACGAGGACACGATTTCAGATATTGAACATTTGGATATTAGAATTCGTTTTGGTTAGAAAAGTTAGAGTTTCTGTGAGAATTATTTTCTACATATAATAATTAATTTCAAGAACACTTCACGACAAAAGAATTACGACTAAAAATTGAAATAATGAACGCCACCGGACTATGTGATCCTCGTTGTCGAGTAGGGTTAAGTGTCAATTACTGAGGGCTCTTTGCAGTACGAAATGAAAGCAAGAAGACGCGCGAAATTGCTCCAGCTGAAAAGGGAATCCCGCGAACGAATTGAGAGAAAATCTCATAAGACCAGCGGTTGATGTCACGTTGCTCTTTCGAGGCGTGAAACAAAGAATGACTACTATGAAATGCACCCTGTTACGAACGCGATCTCAGTTAGTAGACAGGGGTTGAAGCAATTTTCAATGGCTCCCCGTTTACGCTTAACGTTTCGCTAAGCCTCTATGCAAACGGAGGGTCGTGGAAGCTCATTGAAATTCATTAAAACCCTCGTTGCATCCACCCTTATGCAATAATCGATTGCTTAATCATTGCTCCGATTTAATCCAAATTTAATAACACACGAATCGACAATGGAAGCTTTCTTTTTAATCACGCGTTGTAGAATCAGTGGTGACACAAGGGTCACAAGCGTCTCGAGGATTAAGAGTACGATAATGAGGGAACAGTCATAAAGAAATTGATTCGATTAAAATTCTTCGGTTATGCTTAAAGATAATCTGTCAACGCAAGGTGTTAACTGTCTGCTCGTAACGCGAAGACTATACTTTCGAGTCATCGTTGGAAGTGTAACCATGTAATTACAAGAGGACCTGCGTGATGCGATGAATTATCCGTCATCTGGAGGAAATCGTGTTACGTAAATCACCCAACATTGCGTTAGAAGGTCGTTACAATATTGTGTTTTAACAAGCAAATAATAGGTTTGGTAAGAAAACCGCGAATAACGAAGAAACACTTGAAGACTTTGTAATATGTGTTCGAAAACGCTTCATTCGTTGGTCACTTCACTCGATGAGTACCGACTTATAGCTAAAAAGAAAGAATTGTCTATTAATAAAAGTGTTAGCGATGTGTCGGTCGTCTTTCTCTCGAGTCAGATCCATCAAGAAGAAACGGGACTGACTCAGTAAGTCCGTTACACGGTCGCGTCGTGTCGCGATTTTCATGTAGCTTCCATTTACTTCAATTAATTATTTGGCAGAGTCAGACATAGACTTTGGAAATCAAAGGGACTTTGTTTTCTTTGATTTCCATGGTTTCGTACTTAGTATTAAGCTCGTTGACTCTACGTAGAGTATGCATCTATGTATGTATACTCTATATAGAGGGAGATCGAAGGAACTTTGATTCCTTCTGTCTTCGGGTCTCCAGTCGCAGCAACCTCCACGTGGTGAGACCTGGTAATCGGTATTACTCGCAACGAAAGATTGTTCAAAAAATCTTCCGTCTCGAGTAATAGCGAGCTAATGGCTGCGAACTTGTAAAGTATAAAGTGTAAAGTGAGATTAGATTGAAATTAGCAAGGATAACATCATAGAGCCGTGGCTGGTAGTAGTGATCCGTTAATGAACAAAGTATCCTGTATATAATTAGTTTTCTGAAGAAAGTTTTCAGTGCTTCGTCGCACAGAGTAAGATATTTTAAATTGAAGCTAGGAGTATTCAAGCATTTTATGGACATTTACATAAACATTGAATATATGCGTATGCTGTACTTACTTGGATTTATCTTTGGCGTTCAAGTATTGTTTAGAGTAAAAGTAATTGGTTATTTAGCAGCTAGAAATTTTAATGTAGACATTTTTTTTAGATTTATGATATTGTATTACCGAAAGTCAGGCTTTTACTATTAAAGCATAGCGTCCCTTGAAAAAAATTAGTAAAAGAAGGTGGAAAGGGATAATTCGAAAATTCCGTGAGAACCAGTTCTTCCCTTGTATCCGATTACACGCGAAACAGAGCCGACTGGAGATGACGGAGAATTAGACACGGGGGTTCATCCGTCATTTTAAACAAGACAGCAGAGGGCCCCATTAATTTTGTCACCCGACGTTCCCCCTACGGCTCACGAATTACAGGAGTCGTTTGCGAGACGATATCTTACGCTTTGATGAACGATTTCCGAGAAAACAAAAACTCTTTCGTCGTTCGCGTCCCTTTCCTTCTTCCCCTTGGGTTTCGGTTGGCTCGATGACGAAGGAATCTCCAGAAATAGCGGGTCGAAGGGGTCGGTTAGCCTTGGCGGATGAAAAGGGACGAATAGAGCTTTACGCGTGTTATCGATAAACACAGATGAGAGCAAGGAACAATAACATCGTGTATCAATCAGTTTATTGTGCTCGTAACGCCCGCGATTTGTACATTTATGTAGTCCGTCGACCACGTCGCATCTCATTCGCTTATGTACACAGATCTCGGCGAGCCAGGCGCGGCACTCTATATTTATAGCTAGCGCGCATGTACCGGGAAAGCTGAAGAGAACGCCCCTGGATGAAATTTAGATTTAGGCTTTGGAAGCTTTCCGAAATTCCCGTGGGAACTCTGTCTTGTTCTCTCCGAGTAATTAGATGTTATCGTGCAGGATTAATTTGTCGTTTTGGCAAGTCCATTGTCTTAATAGATAATTGATGGTGTAGGTCCAATTATTCTGGTACCATTTTCGGATATCACGACTTAGATACTAGTAATGCTAAATTAATGGCAAGGATAGCGTCAAATTGGACGAAAACCGTGTACTTCAGTGCTTAGAAATAATTAACAGAGGAGCAACAAAGGGCCGTTAAATTCTTTATGAATATTTAATTACTAAGTAAGCTCTAGCGGGTCCGGGACTAGTCGCTAGCAAGCATTAATAGTCGATTCAACTATAAATATTTATAGTGGAAAAATAAAATGTTTCTTCTCTAAACCTTGGGCGCCTTTTAAATAATTTAGACACTCTTAACAAACTAATAACTAAAAAAAAAAGAGCTCTATATGCCATACCTCTGAACAGTGTATAGGTAAGACACCAAGCAAGTGTAACGAGTCACAATTTCAATGATTCGTAGCAACAAAGGGGCCCTTCGATAACATTTCTGGCGCGCATCACTCAGAGGCATTCTTTACAGCTCCGTGCAGTACATACGCACGGTGAATATGTACAAAAATACAAAAAGGGATATTGGCACACTCGAAACACTCACGTGGCAAGCGAAGCGCGTATCACGTCGTTCGAATTTTATCAGGGGACATTCTCGTCCGATTACACGGCTTCCTGAATATGAGATTGGCAGTTTACGATGACGTAGAGCAGGATCGAGGGCCACGACAGTTCCAGCGCCGGTGGAGCCACTATTTCGCGAGCTCGTTGTGCGCTGAAACTGTCGCGACGCTCGTTCCTGACGTAATTTGGCAGTTTCTTTTGGGAAGGGAAATATTCAGCTACCTTATAGATAAACTGTGAACACGGTATCGCTCGGTGAACA